CAACCTTTCCAATTATTCTAGTAGCTTCTCGTTGTTGGATTAAGCAGTTCAAGATGGTATTAATGGATGAAGACAATCAAGGAATGGTGCAATGGAGGAGGAGGAGGAGGAGGAGGAGGAGGAGGTGCAATGGAGGAGGAGGTGGTGGTATAGGTGGGGAGGTGGTGGGTGGTGTAGGTGGTGTAGGAGGTGGGTAGTAGGTGGAGTAGGAGGAGGAGTAGGGTGGTGGAGTAGGAGGAGGAGTAGGGTGGTGGAGTAGGGGGTGGTGGTGGTGTAGGTGGAGTAGGAGGGGCGGTGGTGGTGTAGGTGGAGTAGGAGGTGGAGTAGGGTGGTGGAGTAGGAGGGGTGGTGGTGGTGTAGGTGGAGTAGGAGGGGTGGTGGTGGTGTAGGTGGAGTAGGAGGTGGAGTAGGTGGTGGTGTAGGTGGGGAGGTGGTGGTGTAGGTGGTGGTGGGCGTGTTGGTGGGTAGGAGGTGTGTAGGAGGTGGGTGGGTGTGTAGGAGGTGGGCGTGTTGGTGGGTAGGAGGTGGGTGGGTAGTGTAGGAGGTAGGTGGGTGTGTAGGATGTGGGTGGGTTTGTTGGTGGGTAGGAGGTGGGTGCGTGTGTTGGAGGTGGTCGGTGTAGGAGGAGGTGGTGGTGGGTGTACGACGTGGTGATGGTGGGTGTACGAGGTGTAGGAAGTGGAAACTATGATGACCAAAACTGTGAAATCACCATATTTGTAAACTTCCATTTGTAAACTTCCATTGTGAACTTCTGGATGTAAGTTTGCTTTTGTAAACTTCTGTTTGTAAACTGTGCAGCCACAAAGAGAAATTTCAACAAGCATTACTTCAGCCACATCAACTAAACTTCATCTGTTCAAGATTGTTCTTGTCATAATTGACGACAAAGATAACTCTCCAATCTCAGCAAAATAGATTGGAATGGAGAAGTGTTGATTCGATATCTTTCTGACGGAAGTCGTTACCGCAACTTTATGTCATTATTCCAATATCATGAAGTTATACGCTGTTTCCAACATTGACCCACAATACTTCCATCTACAACAGAGAACTACAACTACATAAGTAAATCAACCAATTTTGTTAGTAAAAAAAATTTTTTTTTTTGGGGAAAATATCTTATATTCTTATTAATTTATGTTTTCAGTTTGTATTCCTAGAATTATTATACAGAACATCATCCATCAGTTCTTGGTTTTCACAAAAGTAAAGTGTTTCTGTCTTTTTTTTTTCTTCTTTTTATAGTTGGTTTAAATAAAACGTATATCATAAGTTGAATGTAAAATAAAAAAAGGGTTGATAAAAAAAAATTGGATTGTGCATTATATAAACCTCTTCCACATCAAGTGAAAATTGGTTTAATAAGCAACACCTGACGAAACACCAACTGGGGAAATAGCAGGTTCAATCACATTTGGATTCAAATCAGCATCAGTTAAAGCTAATTGAGCATCAGTCCAAATATGTTCAACTTCACCTTTTCCTTCACCAACACCACATAATCCACCAATTCTAGTCCAATCATTAATTCTCTTAAGATTTAATTCATTGAATACGGAATCAACACTTTCAATCAAATGATTGGCAATTTCTGGTCCATGACCTGGAGTAGGAGTGATACGTAATCTTTCTTCACCAATTGGAACAGTGGGGAAATTGATAGCTTGAACATAAATTCCATGTTTATTTAATAATAAATCAGATGCTTTTTTAGCATCAGCAGCATTTCCAACAAGAACAGGAACAATATGAGATGGATTAGGAATAACAGGTAATCCTAATGAGTTAAGATTGTTTTTAACATATCTTGTATTCTTTTGTTGAGCAATACGATCAGCAAGAGTAGAACGTTGATATCTAATCGAAGCTCTAGATCCAGCCATAATTGCAGGAGGTAAAGTAGTGGTGAAAATAAAACCAGGAGCATATGATCTAAACCAATCAATTAAATTAGCTTTACCAGTTACATAACCACCTACACAACCATAAGCTTTACCTAAAGTACCGGTAACCATATCAACACGGTTCATGATAGTTGGACTTGGTGGTTGAGCAATACCTGCAGCTAAATGAGCTTCAAAGTCTAAATGTTCAGCAACACCAGCACCATGAGGACCATACATACCAACAGCATGGACTTCATCCAAGAAAGTTAAAGCACCATACTTTTCAGCCAAATCACAAATGGCTTCAATTGGAGAAATAGATCCACACATAGAATAAACCGATTCAAAAGCAATAAGTTTTGGAGTTGATTTTGGATATTGAGCAAGTTTTGCTTCTAAATCAGCTAAATCATTATGTTTAAAAATATGTTTTTGAGCACGAGAATTCTTAATACCTTGAATCATAGAAGCATGATTTAACGAATCAGAAAAAATTACCAAATCTTTCATCTTTTGACCAAAGAGGGATAATACTGCATCATTAGCAACAAAACAAGAAGAAAACACTAACGCGGCTTCATGTTTATGTAATGCTGCCAATTCAGCTTCTAATTGAATAGCATGTTGATTATGACCGGCAATGTTTCTAGTACCACCAGCACCACTACCATATTTATCAAGAGTTTTTTTCATGGCGTCTAAAGTTTTTGGGTTTTTTCCCATACCTAAATAATCATTTGAACACCAAACCATAACTTCTTCAGCTTCAGAATTCAAATGAGCACGAGGAAAAGCATTAGCTAATCTGTTGATGTTATTAAAGAAACGATAAGATTTATCTTGTCTCTTTTTATTTAAATCATTTTCCAAAAACCCTTGGAAATCAAATGCTGATTCATTAGTACCCATTGGAAAAGCATTTGGATTAGCAACATTAACAAAATAGTCTTGTTTAGAAGTTTCAATAGGAGTAGTAGCAGTAGCTCTAACTGGTTTAGTAGCCGATGAATATTGTCTAATTTGTTGTTCTTTAGCTTCAATTGCAACTGACATAAATGGACATTTTCTAGCTGGGGTAGATAATCCACCTGGAGTTGATTTTGAGATTTGACGTAATGCTTGAGTAGAGGATGACCTAACAAAAGGACATACTGTCATAGAAGCTCTAGCTAATGATTCCATTTTCAGAGTGGGTTTTGGTGTAAAGTGAAAAAAAAGGAAGAGATAGTAAGAGTAAATAGAAAATGTATGAAATTTTTTATGTTTAAATAAAAAGATTTTTTTTTCTTTTTTTTTATTTTTTTTTTATTGATTTTCGATAAAAAAAAAAATAAAAAATTTTAAAAAAAATAAAAAAAATTTCTGGCAAATGAAAATTTCTTAATTTATAAAAATTTTTCAGTTTCATAATTGCGGAGAAGAAGAACAAACATTTACTTGAGTAGAATAAGGAGAACAAGACATGACCATGACGATGATGATGGATTTATAGTTTTACATCAAAAGGTTAAAATCTCCAAACAGAATTCAGAGAAACTTACTCCTGATTAATTTGATTCTAATGCGCTATGGTTTATCCTCCAATTGAATTTCAATGCTACCGTTTTTTTTTTTTGCAACACAAAATTACTGCAATAATAAAAAAAACAATTGAGTTATTAATAAGCAACTTGTACCAAATTCCGTACCGGCCTTTGCAAACACTGTCAGACCATTCTTTTAAAGACAATCTGTTATATGCAGCTAATTAAATGTAACCAAGAACTATTAATTCCCCCCCTTTTTTATGCTTGTCTCCTTTTGAATTGAGAATCTCATAGAAGAAGAGGAGAAAAATCAAAATTAAAATCATCTTATTGATTATTTCATTTATTAAATCGTTTATTGGTCAAATCAAATGGTTGCATTTAAAATAAAAAATATCATAACCTTTAACCGGAAAAAGAAAATTTGGTTAACGAACAGAAAAAAATAAATTTCTTACCTTTGAACTTAACCTTTTCAGTGGACTGGTAGAAAAGTAACACAAAAAATAAGCGCGCGATCAGCCGGATTTATTATTGTGGCTGATAATTTTGATTACTAACCAAACACATTTATGAAAAATTTTGGTATGGAAAGTTGTTCCACAGCAAGCAATTAACAACAATATCATTTTGATGATAAATGTATGAGGAACAGTTAATTGATATTGAATACCTTTAATAAAAACGGAAAGAGCTAGACTTGTTGTTGACAAATTCACTATCATTATCAGTTCTAAATACCGCTAATTTCAAACCACCACGAAACGAGAAATATCTCTGAGATTGTTTTATCCACATAATGATCGTATCTGGTGCTGCTGACTTGTGTTTAAGCAGATACGTGAACTTCATTTTTGTATAATCATCCACCAATACTAATACGAACTTTCTCCACAAATCCCCCCAGCCTTAAAAGGACCAGCGATGTTAGCATGAACTAATTGAAGAGGGACAGTTTATGTCCGGTCCATTAGAAGAAGAAGCATAGCTTTTAAAATTCTTTGATTTGAGAAAAATATCACATGGAGCCCCAATCTCACTGGAAGAAAATTCGACCTCAGCAGCTTGAAGCATAAGTTAGAAAGAGGCGGGGTTGGGATGACCAAAAGATGAATGAAATCTGGATAATTGCTTGGACTTAACAATAGAATTAATTTCAGGCATTGGCATAATAATATCTAATGTGCACTCCAACTTAATCTCATATGTACCAAAAGTAGAATGTGTAACAGACTTGGTTGTAATAGTAATCAGATTATCATCAGCAGGGAATGATTTTGGATTAATTAAATTCATCTTTAAAGCTGGAACAAAACCAGTATGTTGAACATCGATAACATAATTATTAGCTTGTAATTTCAAAGTTCCAAAACCATACCCAGAAGTTTTCTCCCCATTTGCCAGACCACCCTATTGTGGCTTCTCAAACATTTCAAAATCATGGAGATAAGCTAAATCGGGCATCAATATTAATACTCGCCCCCCAGTGTCAAGAAGGAAATGGTTTTGATGCTCATTAGTAGCCCCCGAAATAGCAATCACCTGGGTTGTCAGATTTAACAGCTGCAGACTTATTAGGCTTATTTGTTGAAGTAGGAGCCTGAGGAAAAGATGGAGTAGGTACAACCGCATTAGGAGAATCAGAAGCCTTAGAAGCCTCGTCAGATTTCTTCTTTTTACATACCTTTTTAGTGTGACCAAACTTGACAGTAATGTCATCTAACCTTATTTGAAGAAGTTGCAACATGAGCTTGATCCGATGATGTACTGACAGAACCAGAACCAACAACCAACATAAACGTATCCGGGAAATCAAGCGAAAGAGCCTGTGCATACCCTTTAACTAGACGGATGTTGAACACCACAGAAGGGTTAACGTCTTTTGCAGCTCGATGACAAGTTTCAATGTCGGACCAATGAGACATAGGAAGATGCATCAATTCCACCGAACTCTTCAGATGAAAAGCTATGGAGAACGTTATCAAAAATGGTTCGTAAGGTAACAGAAACACCAGATGAAGGAAGTTGGATTTGAATAAGTTGAGCAGCCGTAGTATAGTTTAAAGTACCATAGGCTTTTACAACGGATTGATAGAACTCACGACCAAGTCGTAAATGGAAAACGTTCCTGAATGGAAGAATCAACAGTAGCTGCCATACCAGTTTGAATGAAAATATCAAGTTCATCAAAAAATTGTGTTTGAAGGTGGGCAGTGACGTCGCTACTAAAAAAGAAAACCAGCTTTGTCTTCAGTAAGGTACTGGGTAAGAGTTTTCTGAGTCAATTGACGACAAATGAACTTGAACTCAGCATTCAATGTTTGGTAATTGAGGTGTCCATCTAATTTAGTGACTAATGCAAAAGGGGAAGCGCTGCATAACCTGACGTAATATGGTTACGGTTGATTGTATGGTAAGATTTCTTTCAACTTGAAAACTGTACATTAATCGACTCAAACCAGGTCTTCTTAGCGACGAAGGTGGCTGTGATGGTGGTTGATCAGTTGAGTTGGATTCTGATTGTACAGCTTTGGGAATAGCAGGAAAAAGTAATACAGCTAGATTTGGATCATTCCGGTCACGACAGGCTATCCACTTGTGTTCATGTGTAAAAATGCCTTCTGGTAAATCAATAAAGTACCTTCCAAACGCTCTGGCTAAGTGTGCGCAAATTAAGTTTCTACTAATTCTTGGAGCATATAACACATCATGAAGAATCACTACTCCGCGGGGTGTAATGCCGGATTTATTTTTTCAGTTGTTTACGCTCATTTTTGTCCTAGACTATAGATAAAGATTGGTGATCCAGATAAACTTCAACTTGACCATTACATAAATAATTAAATCATATGGTAATAATACCAAGTAGTTCTTTCTCCATTGCGGAGTTTCTACTTTGGGTTGATGATAATTTAAATGCCGCAAATGAAATAGGAACTAAAACATCAATTCCATCTGTATTCTGCCTTTGGCAAATAAAACCTCCAATAGCACGATCCGAACTGTGGGGTGAAAATATAAGTGGTTTTGTCTGGATCATAAATGAAAATTTTTGGTAACCTAATGAGATGTTGTTTCAATGATTCAAATGCTTGACGAGAAGCTTCAGTATGTTCAATTTTGGTATTCTCAGCAGCCTTATCCTTTATCAAATCTGTCAATGGTGCTGTATATTCTGACAAGTTTGGTACGAACTGCCTGAAAAAATTTATATTTTCAAGATCAAGTAATACAATTCTATCTCCAAGGTTGTATTGGTCTAACTTTCCAAAGATCACATTCTTAGTGTGAACAAATGAGTTCCCATAAGGAGTACATTTTCTCCAAAATGATGCATTAAGAACTTATTTAACTGATTGCCCAACTAAACCAAAACCAGTGACGTTGATGAAATCATTATTTCTAGCATAGTTCTTAAATGACAAGGTACAATTTTCAGCTACCATAAGTACAACGTCTCTCCATTGGATACCTTTTAGTGAGTCTTCAGGAAATCTAAGTTTGTCTTGATAGGCATCATCTAAGTCACCAGCAAAATAAGGACAGGCAAGTTTTCCCCATTTGAATTGGTCAATGAACATCGTTTCAAATTTATTTCGAAGTTTGACCATTTTATGGACTATGAATTATTGAAATACTTTGAAGGCTATAAAATCAGGAAAGTGAAGAAACAAATTACAGCCACAGCAGCATTTAATGAACAACAACAGATCACTGGAGAAGCAGTCATCATATTACCAGAACCATTTAATACAAACGTTAAAGTGTATTTGATGCATGAATTAGGTCAAATACTCATTGGTGAACCAACTTTAAGAAAGTGGAAGTATAGTTTAATTGAAGATGGAAGCAGGATCAACGAACAGAAACAAAAATTTAAAAATCAACTCATCAACCATAATCCCAAACTATTCTCCACAGAAGAAAGAAAACCCAAAGAGAGAAATTTTAAATATCACATTTTAACCACCGATGAAATTCCAATAATGCTGGTGCCTTATTTTACAACTGCTTTTCTTTATTTGCTTGAGCACGTAATTTAGCTTCTTTGTAACTTGCACACTGAGAGCGCATATGACCATGTTTTCCACAGTGCAAGTCAGACACTGATGAGGAAGATGATTTCCTTCCAGCCTCAGCCTTTAACAACGCCAGAAAGTTTTACAAGCAACAACAAGTTTCCGAATCACAAGCCCCAAGTCAAGGCAACAACATGCCTATTCTTCCTAAAAACGTGATCAAAGCCAAAAGAGCTCTTGTCGAATATAGCAAGAGTTCAGACCAGGCAGTCATTGATGCTTTATTGAAGAGAAGAAGAAAGCCGGAGTTTTAATAGACGCTGTACCAGGCTCGTGGTTGAGTCCAGTATTCGTTGAAACAAAAGAACAAATTTAGAGTAGTTGTAGACTTAAGAAAAGTCAATGCAAAGACAGTCAAACAGCCAGTATATCTTCCAATATTTAAAGACTTTTGACAATTGATCTGACTTCAGTCGATGTGGTAGGAACATTCCAATTATGAATAGCCTGAACCTTGTGTGGTCCTTTTGTGACAAAAAGAATTGAATTTTAAGTGTGACAATACTGTTAAGTCTCCACCTACTTTGGAGTTATTCTCCATACAGCTCAGAGGAGACCATGATTCCGGTAAATGGAAGATTGCATAGAAGCTATCCACATTACATCAAAAGTAAACGTTGGTAACATTTGGTATTTTGGGGGTCATGGATGAGTTTGGTAATTTTTTGTCATCCCGGCCCTACATTCTCAAGGAGAAATGATCCGCCACAAGGTGACCGTCTGCAAATCAAGTTCTGGATCGAAGAACTGTTGATGGCTGCAATTTTCCAATTCTGCTTTTGATCTTAGACTTCAGTTTCTCCTCTTGGTTGTTAAAAATTAACACACCTGATAAACTTGTGGTTTGAGAAGTCAAATAATGCGCCTCCATCAGTGGGTTTAAGAGATACACCATTATTTACTCACCAAGAATGAATCGATATTTCATATCTATAACAACAAACTTGCGAGAGAAAATGTTACCTTCCAGAGAGAAACTAAAGTTTCCGTCTATACATTATCAAACTTTGTATCAGACGAAGTTGAGCACAAGATCACTAGTGGAGTGTTCTTGCATTCCGCTTCGTGTGATACAACAGTTTCATGTGTATCGAGATTTAGATTAGTTTTTTCGATGAACTTCGCACTGTTTAAACAGATCTTGTTGAACTTGATCTTGAAAACGATATCCCGGGAATGACCCTATTGAACATGATTTTATCCAACAATGGTAACCTGACGCATCCGATCTCGTTTTCGTATCTTTTCGGGACTTTCATGTAAATTTCTTCATCCAAATTTCCAGATGGATGCCATAATGGCATTCTTATAGGTACATTTAGATGAAGAGATTTATATGAAAATACCTGAAGTATAAGAAAGCGAAATTAATCAAGATGTCTCAATACCAAATGTGGAAAACCTTGGTGTGGGATTGGCCAAGAGAAATGAAAGTATATAGTAGACCTAACAATAAGATATCAAGTACAACTACTACCTAATAAATACAACTCTTTAACTCCAGTTCTACTCTTTTCACAGTAATACTTCAACACAGAAACCCGTCTGCCCATGCCGACAAATAATCCGTTCAACTTAGCCGGCAAATCAACTTAACGTCAGCTTTGATATTGCGGAAAACGGGATGCCATAATCCTTTTTGTCTGAGATCCCCTCTCAATCCGCGCAAGTATAGTTAAGAGACCACTGGCTTGGTAAATGGAGATTAGTGTTGGTAATGAGATTGAACAGCCCTCTCGAATTTTGAAACGAAGAGGCAATTAGGAGGGGGAATTACCCTCTTCAAATATTTAGGGAGAGTTTTTCTTGGTGAAGATTATGGACTAATCTAGGCTCAGGATGATTAGTGATCGAGTTAAGTGACATGAGATCTGAAGACAGCTTGATGGAGGTTTTAGTTACATATTTCTTATTGTTCGATACATTCTCAGTTTACATTTCCTACGAATCTAGTGAGGTCCCTACCTTTATATATATCAGAAATGGCCCCCTGTCCTCTGTTTCTGGAGATCCCTGGCTCCGATATAACTATACCTATGATTGGAGATCCCTGTCTCCTCTAACCCGGTCCCTAACCCCATCGATATGGTCTTTTTCAGTTATTTCAGACTTGATATTCTTATCTTTTTTTTTTCTGATACAACCATTTATTCTAGTTCTTATACATAATAACATACAGAAATATAATAAACAGATACACAATTAGAGGAACAAAAAAGATGGATCAACATACGATGCAAAAAACCTCTTATAAGCAGCAATTATCTTAATAGATTTGTTTCTCCTCGTATGTTGCTTTCCTTTTGTCGTTTTAATGTATTTTCATGGTTTAGTGATCTCGTCGATATCTCTTCGATCTCCGTTTTTATATTAGACCTTGGATTACATAATACAACAACTTAGACAGGGACCCGCTTCTTTCGGCAATCATTTGTCTTTTCCCTACGGAATTCTCGCACTAAACGTGTTTAATTATCGTTTATCAATTGTCATCACAAAGTTACTAATAATTGCCTCAGATATACGATTTGCATCACATCACGCAATTATTCTCAATTCCAATTGTTGAGAATTTTCAGCTAAAATTATTTTTTAAATTGTTTCGGTTTTGCAGGCAATTTTTATTTTTTCAAGGGGGGAGGCAGAGAAGGGATGATTTTTTTTTTGTTTGTCTGGGGTAATTATTAAATTAAGGAGTTAGACAAGTGGAATGACAAATATCGGCTTATTAGTTTTCATTGGGTGGAAGGGATCATAAGCCGACTGAAATTCAATTGACTTTTTATTATCAATTCAATTGAGTCTCCTGATCAAAATTTGCAAGCAGAAACTTGATTGAATAAAATCTACAAAATATGGTTTGCGCAGAGATGCTTAATTGATACAGATAAACACATGATCTAAAAAAGGCTAATAACAGAATCTTAACCCAATCGTTCCATCCCTTCCCCCATTCCCCACCCCCTAAAAACTTCTTGTTTGTCTTGGAAAATGATTGTTATTATTATTATTTATTATTTTCTTAGTGTTTTTTTGGGTACACCCATTGTTTAGGATTAGACTGACTCCGATTATTATAAATACCAATGCATTTTTCCATTTACATAATCTTCTTTTATTTTGTCATCATAAACGTATTCATATACAAACTACAAAATCTAAGAATGGGTTCCGAAATTCCAACCACCCAATATGGGTTCTATTATACTAAAAAAGATGGTTTAAACTTAAAAGAGAATTTACCTGTCCCCAAACCAGGTCCAGGTGAATTATTACTTAAAGTTGATGCCGTAGGATTGTGTCATTCTGATTTGCATATCATTTATGAAGGATTGGATTGTGGTGATAATTATGTCATGGGTCATGAAGTTGCCGGAACTGTAGCTTCCCTCGGTGGTGACAATGTCGCTGACGTTGCTGGGTACAAAGTTGGTGAACGTGTTGCCTGTGTCGGTCCAAATGGATGTGGAGTTTGTAAGTTCTGTCGTGCAGGTCAGGATAACTTGTGTACTAACTCATTTTTGGATTGGTTTGGATTGGGTTATGACGGAGGATATGAACAATACTTATTAGTTAAGAGACCAAGAAATTTGGTTCGTATTCCAGATAATGTTAGTAGTGAAGATGCTGCCGCCATTACTGATGCTATGTTGACTCCTTATCATGCTTTAAAGATTGCTAAATTGACTCCAACTTCAAATGTATTAATTATTGGAGCAGGTGGGTTAGGTATTAATGGTATACAAATTGCCAAGACTTTTGGTTCGAAGATTACTGTTTTGGACCCAAAAGAACCAGCTAGAGAGATTGCCAAGACTCTTGGTGCCGATAATGTTTATGATAAATTACCGGATTCTGTCAAGGCTGGTTCATTTGACATCTGTGTTGATTTTGTAGGTGCACAGTCTACTTTTGACTTATGTCAAAAGTATATTAGATCCAAGGGTGATATTGTTGTCGTTGGGTTACATTCACCAAATTTAACATTCAATTTGGGTGATTTGGCCCTTAGAGAAATTAATATTTTGGGTAGTTTCTGGGGTACTTCAAATGATTTAGCTGAATGTTTTGAATTGGCTAGTCAAGGTAAGGTTAAACCAAAGGTTGCTAAGGCTCCATTGAGACAATTACCTGAGTATGTTCAAAAGTTAAGGAAAGGTGCATATGAAGGTAGAGTTGTATTTAATCCATAGAAAAACTATCAGACACATTTCAGTTTATTTCAAGATGGTGTTGGGGGTTTATTAAAATTTTATATAATTTTCTAGTGTATGATGTCAATAACACTTGTTTTTGTTGTACAAACTATCGGGTGCGCTCTGTCAGGGTATATCTATACTTCAAAAGGAGCAGTGTAGTTTTTAGTCTTAAAATCCCAATAAAATGTTAAACTTTGACTAACATTTGCTGGAACTCCACATTCCTCTATATAGTCAATCCTCTCTAATCTCTGTTTGATAAAGCTACGGAAGTCATCAAATCCACAAGAGAATCCAGGGCCATTATTACAACCAGGAATCGGAATAACAGCATCATTAAGCACAAATCTCACATATGAATCACCATCACAATTATACTTCTCAGTATATAATCTTGCACCTTGTGGAACTAAATTAGCATGTACAAACTTTCTATCAAATAAGATCTCATCAACAGGCAAGGGATATTCCGGTGTAAATATCCCCAAGGCACTCATATAATGATCAATATCTGTATCATGAATAAAATTCAACCAAATCTTATTATCAGCCTCGGTATCTTCTAATAAAACCAATGAAGCATTCAATAACACCGAACCTATTACCGTAGACATGTTATTCCCCGGACCCGAAGTATAGAATTTACCCAAATCCTTGTAATAAGCATATGCAACTAAGTCATCATTGGTGAATAAATCACAGACGGGTGATTGTCCAGTTACGTTGATTTCATAAGCACACCAATCGAATAGATTTATAATATCATGTTTGGTTAATTTGATATCATTATTATCTTTTGTAATCCGCTCAAGAATATCGTATAGAAATTGATCATTCCGATTGTGAAGTAATTTTGAATTAGCTGCTATATCGTAATTAGCACAAGCATATCTCGGGGTTAATGTATTAGCTCCAAGCGAAGGGTCTTTGGCCAAGATATTGAACTTGATTTTGTCAGTTCCATATTCATCACCTAAGAAGCCTTTGACGAAGCACTCAGCTGATTTATGTACTCGATTAGAATTGGTAGTAAAGACCGGCAAGGTATAACTCAGATTATATAGATCATTATATCTAGATCTGAAATATGCTCCATGTCTGAACAAATCTCTCGTCCCAGCGAAAGGACCCTGGGAATTTTCATCAGTAGTTTCCAATCCAAATTGAGATTCGTCCTTTGCGAAATAATCATAATCATTCAAAAATGCCAATTGTCCCTTATATTCCCGAAGTACAACAAATTTGAAAACCTTTTAGCATCGGTTCCTAGCAGGGAAGAATCGAGTAGGATATCGCTCTCCATGTCGTGATATTAATTGAACTTGTTCCAATCCACAAATCGAAGGAATGTCGGATGAGATGCCATATCCCGGGTGTTGTATATAAGGGGCCGACCCACCTAAGAATCTAATTATATTGCAGTTATCAACCGACGCTTGTTCGGGGGTGGCTAAATGATAGGCGGATTGACCGATTATTAAGAGTCCGCCTTGTAATAATTTGGATATTGAAACCATGTATTTTGCAACTGTAGTTGGGGTGAGGATTGCGATTTTTTGCAGCAATCAAATCACAAAAATGAAATCGTTTAGATTCAGCGAGATAAAGTGAAGTATTTATATCCTAATCTAGTAGTGGGAAATATATCAAGGTCAGAAATGTAAATTAGAAGTGTGGTCTATAATTACCTTGTTGGTTACAATTAAAAATTGCCTGGGGAATTTGTTTTACCTTGATACCTATTTCCCTTTCTTATTCGTTTGGAGTAAATTATTTAGCATGGAGTTGCAACAGAGAGTATGGTCATGCGAGGTAGATTACTCGTGCCACTTAAATGAATGATCAACCATAAAAATCGGTATGAATAAAACAGTCGCTTACTAGTAATCCATTGTAAGTTACTGTTGCGATACCAGTTGTGGGTGGGTGTGTGTCAATTTTAGGAAAACGTGGGTAGCTGCTGTCTTGGAAAAAAGAAAGCAGGTACAGGAAAATAAATTAATGCGCCATGAACATTTGTTGCAAATTAACTTTTTGTTAATTTTAATTTTGTGCAACAATAAACACAGCAATAATCACTTTGATGTATTCTAAAAATCTAATCATCGCCTATAAAATTTACATTTAAATAATATCTATAAAGGAAATAACTAATATATTCCACGAATATTCTAATAATCATTACGCTGTTTGCCTAGGAACAGTCGCGTTATACTTAACTTCATGATAATCCCAATAGAAAGTCAACGCCAGTGGATAATTCTCAGGCAATTTGCAATCATTGACAATGTCGTATTTTCCAATTCTATCCTTAACATATTGTTCATAATCCTCCAATTTACATGAAAATCCAGGACCAGAAGAGCATTCTTTTATTGGTATCACAGCGTCATTAACAATAAATCTAACATAATGATCATCTCCACATTTAAGTTTTTCGCAATACTTTGCAGGTGGGTACCCGTGTTAAAGCTGTACTGCTATATATAGAGATTATTTAACTCTATCAAAAGGTAAAGCATCAATAGGATCAAATAACCCAAGTGCAGATGAGAACAATTCAATGTCACTATCATGAGTGAATGTAAGCCATATTTTATTCTTGGGATTCTCTTCTTTTAAAAGATTCAAAGTTGCATTTAATTGGACGCTTCCAGCTAATTTACTATTATATCCGCCAGGACCCCATTGATAATAAAATGTCAAATCATTATGATAACCATATGTTACGAATTCATCTTCGGTGAAAATATCGCAAAATGGAGAATATCCTCTTGAATTCATTTCATAGGCACATATTTGGAATAATTGGAAAGCATCATCTGAAGTAATATTCAATCCCGGGTTTGCAGAAGTAAATCTAGATACTATGTTATCTAAATATGTAGTTGGGAATTTCGACAATTGATCCTTATAATGATTGGGTTCAAAAGCAGGACATCCCCATCTTGGAGTTAATGAATTAAATCCAGCATCCTTATCTTCAGTAACTATAACTTTATCAAGAATCTTTTCAGAATATTTCTCTCCAAGGAACGAAGTAGCGAAATTCAAAGCAGTTTCATAAACACGGAAACTAGCAGCAATAAAAATTGGTAAATTTTCATTTGGATCATAAAGGTGTCCATACTTCGCCCTAAATGACCCGCCTGCTCTAATTGCAGTTTCATACCCTGTATATGGACCTTCTGAATTAGCAGGGGTAGTTTCATATTCATAAAGATCTTCATTGGGTACATAATATTCATAATCATTAAGGAATGATAAATCACCATTAAATATTCCGTTGTAACTTTGCAACTTATCAACAATTTGTTTATGAGTTTGACCAGCTGCTAAACCAGGAAATCTTTCACCATGTCTCATATACAATTGGACATGTTCAACTTCACATTGGGGAGGTGTGGATGTGGAGATCCCAAATCCATTATTCTGAATATATGGACCTGCAGCGGCTAGGTATTTCACGATGTTGTACTGAGATTTGGCTGCTAATTCTGGACCGGCGACATTCCTGAATTGATCTTGGGATGCAAAGATGAGACCGGATGATAAGACTTTACTTATTGCTACCATGTTATGGTGTTGAACTTGGTTTGGTTTGTTGTGAGGTAAATCTGTTTGTGAGAAAAACGTGGGGTGATATGGTAGTATTTATACTGGGAAAATAAACAAGGTAGAATAGGTTACACTCAGACCTTACAGTATTACCAGATGGATGCCAGGGTTTAATACTAAGTTGAAGTTCCTCAATGGACTAAATATTTGTTATGTTGGGTTGCTATAACCAGGGGTATCTATTGTTGAGTGTGAAACTCTAAAACACTCAATAATTTATAACTTTGTGATTGACTATATTGGCGGGTATGGGAACAACTAATGATTTGACGGTAGTAGACTCTTAATGTAGACTCGAATAGATATATATTTCGTGATTGCCTATTATAATATATCCATTCCTCTCTATAACAAGACTCCCTCCACTATAAATGAATAAAACTAATACTTAGTCAATAGATGAAACTTCTTTGTTCTAAAGATAAAAAAAATATCACACAATAAGGAGATCCCTAAAAAAATTACAACCCCCAGATTCTTGTGCGGCTCATCAAATCCTGAGATTTTAGTACTAATTCAGACAGCAGAATTCGCGTTAGAGTAAAGAAAATTGATGATTATGATGCAATTCTTAACCCATACTACTTAGAACATATATACATACATTACTCTCTACTCACTTTTTCTTCCCTTTCTTAGCAGGTTGTCGCTTGTTTTTTGAATCAGGTGCTGCACCTGATGGCAAGACCAACTTCACTTTTGAAACCGTAAACACACCAACCAAATCGTTAGGTTTCAAAGTCTTAACGATTTCTCTTTCCACTGGCCAATCCAAATCGGTATCTGATCCAGAATCGTCCATCTTTCTGGTAGTGAAATAATGTAAAGCATCTGTAATTGATTTCCCTTTCTTTCCTGATCCTGGCTGAATTTTTACTTTATATTTAAATTTCTGTAATGATTGCCATGGAGCAAATACAGGAATAATATTGATAATAGAATCCTTTGGAGATGGCTTGGATACAAATGAATCAAGAATCTCTAAATAATTTGTAATATGGGATTCGTCACTATCAACTTCATCCATAATGTATTTTTGGTATTCTTTAGCTTCTTGTTTCCTTCTTCTTTCTTTTGCAGCTTCTTTTTCTTCCAATCTCTTAGCGGCTTCTAATCTCTCGAACACTTCTTTCAGCTTTTGATCCTCTCTTTGTTCAACCTGTTTAAGAACTCCCAATGCATCCATTCTCAATTTTCTTTCTTCTTCATCTTGATCGGCGTACCTCTTTGCGATTTTTTTAAGTTTGGATTTTTTACCTCTTGGAATTGGAGTAGCTTTTCCCAGTCTAGACTCAGTTGATAAAGAAACACTGTCCGAAATAGACTCCAAATCGGCTTCAGGACTTCCTTCGACTTCTTCTTGAGCACTTTGCGGTGTTTCTTCCTTGGTAATTTCAACCTTCTTGGTATCCTCAATTTTTTGTGTCTGTTTGATCTTTTCAAGCTCTGCCTTCTTATTATCAAGAGTAATAGTCAAACCATGTTCCTTTTCACGATTTACTCTATTCTCGGCATATCTTTTAGTAGTATCCTCATCAACCAAACAATAAAGACCAAATCCCATTACTAATTGCGATGGAGGTAAATATTCTTTCTTGCCTTTATAATTAAATTCTCCAGAAGGAACAAGCGATCCATCAAAATCACGCTTAGATATTTCAGTACCATGCATTACCCAAGCCGACGTGGTTACCTTTCCATTCCATCCACTTGAAGCAGACATAGAAAAAATACCAGCTTGCATAACAGTCGAAGGTGGGACTAATTCTCCCTTAAATGGATTCTTGATGAATACTTTTAAAGATCCTTCAAGATCAGAACTGACAAAGAAATCATTATCCCCGAAATGTCTATAATATATCATATCAACTTGTGCATTATCTCTGCCTGCCAAACATAAATATCCTTCATTGGAAACAAACCAATAAAATTTCTCAAACCAATATTTAGGTCTCATTTGTTTTAAAGTTTCAGTTTCTTGTTTGAGAGCTTTGGTTAAATCTTGCGTGATCTTCCTTTCGGCGTTTTTAACTGCCATGTTTGTACTTTTTTCAACTTTGGTTTGTTTAGTTTCGGCGGTCTTCTTGGTGTCAAAGTACAATCTGGCATTTGCAAATGCAGTTAATGATAAATCAATCCAAGTGGAAACAACATTTGGTCTCTTCTGTTTAGTTTTCTTAGCTGTGGATTTCTTTTTCTTGGGGAAGTCGTCTTCATCTTCTGAATCGCTTTCACTTTCGCTTTCACTTTCTGATTGTGTTTCATCGACATCAGAACTATCAGAGTCTTCTTCTTCGAAATCAGGAAGCAAAATTTTGAATTTATTTTCTTTCAAATTCAACGGCAATCCAATAGAATTAGCCAATTTATTACCTTTTCTCTTTTCAAGTTCAATAACCGATTCAATATTGGTCCAATCCATCAGCTGATCTAAAAATTGTTGAATATACGCACGGCATGCTTCCACTAATTCGGAATGATATTGAATCAATTCTCCCTTTTTTGAATTTAATTCCTGTTGTTGTACAAGGGTTTGGATTTGTCTATCACGTTCACTCTTTGCTTTCTCCAATCTCTTATTAGCATGTTGCTTTTGTTGCTCTATCTTTAATGCCAGCTTACTGGATTCGAGGGTTGAGAAGAATTTGTCCAATGTCTTGTTATATCCTTGAACTGGTATAAATTCAAAAGCATCGAAATTCTCTTTATATGGTTCAAAAGGATGAAATTCATCGTAGATTATATTCAATTCAGAAGTTTCATCTACTGACTCATTCTTCTTCCCCACTATATAACCCGTGGTTTCTTTCTCGACAGTTAATAATGATAAATACGCATCTTCACAGACTTCTAATGCTTTCACTACACTTTCGATACCTTCCTCATTTCCTTCAAAATTAAGACTACTTTGACTTGGGTTGATTCCACAATCATGAAAACATTTCTGAATTAACTCACTTGGTAAATGCTTTGCATTAACAAAAGCAAGTTTATGAATTGAGAATACCCTCACTTTCTTCTTATCTGAATGTTCTTTCAAAAGTAACTTATGTGTGTCAATCCATGACTTGACATCTTCAGATGTATACGTAGTCTTTTCAAATTTATACTCATCTGTAAATAATGATTTATCAAACATTTTATACTCTTCATTAACTGCGTATCTGTCAACATCTTCCTTTGCAGTGACTAATCTTTGCAAGGACATAATCTTTTGATGTTCATCAAGCAACAATATATTCCCAGCACTGAAGAATTCCAATACAAGATAATACAACCCATCACTGAATTGTAACACTAATACTCTGTCATTCGGAATTTGTTTGATACCTGATAATCTTCTAGTTTTCAAATGTTTTCTTAATTTAGTAACGAAGTTAGAAGGTTGTTGAGTAGTTTGTCTTTCAAAATCAGTCAAATGAATTCTATTTCCATATTCTAACACAACCACCTTCTTAGAATCTGGAATTGAAAATTTAAATAAATATTGACGAGTGCTATTGGCAACATTATAAATATTCTGTAATCTATAATTCAATAATTCTTTAGATAATTCAGAAGTAAGAATCTGAAGATCCAAACTGGTAATACGTTGCTGAAATCAATGTTAGCAATTCGGCTTAATCAATATTTCTTTAAGGTGTTACATACTTTCATTACTGAGAAATCAATGGCAACTTCCTTTAGGACATCTGGGAAGCTAAAAGTAAATTCGGTCGAAAATTTTTTTGGCTCGTCCGATCGATTGCTCACTACGGAATGTGACTTCTTTCATCGTAGCTTCAAATCGCCTTTGGGTGTAGAATTCCATTAGAGGTCTAATGAGGTATGAAGCCCTCAGGTACTTCCTGTGACACTTTAATAACCAATTCCCTTAGTTCTAGGAAGTTTCTGAAGTAAGCGGCTAAAGAAGCAAATTGTTTGTGAGAATGAGAGACGGTTTAAGACCCAATTCAATTTTTACCTTCAAACATATTCCTATTGATTGAATTAAGTTAACATTATAGCCGGTTTTACCATACTTATAACTCGAATCCGAGAATGATTTATTAGTGAAGTAAGGAAGTTTTCTAACAAAGTTTTCAATTTTTACTGCTTATGCATTTTTGGGATTGAACTCAACAGTTAATTTTACTTCGCTTTAAATGAAACATTTAAACCGAGTTTTTCTTCGAAAATAAGGTATAGATAATAATACGTTGCATTTGGAATGGTGACACACTTGATAGTCAAATCTATAAGTTTGACCTATCGGTAATTATCTTGATACAAATGGAGTTGCATTGTTAAGCGAAAGCAACAAGTTTTGCAGGGTGAGTTTTTCCCAATTGACATGTTCAAAGAACTATTAAAAGATAGACTCCAACTACATGTATCATTCTTTATTGCTTCATTACGTTAGGAATAACAGATGATGAGGCATAATGTGTGGTGACTTTCTGTTCTAAGAATATCCCACGACCTACATGGAGACATATACGTTTATTATCCCTTCGCCCTAACCAATTCTGTTGAGATAAAATTAATCCAATGGCTTTTCTATAAGAAAGTCGGGTAACACTCTCCCAATAGGAAAAGGTCACCAAACAAATTAACGAAGAAAAGTGGACAACACACATAAACGAATATATACAGATAGTAGTGATAATAACGAATACAAACAATTAGATTCCAAATATTACAATAAGGTCTGTATAGTAAATCTAATTAATACCTTTGTAATTAATTCTTAATGTCTCTAGTCTCAAATCTTAACAAATTGTTCCGCCCTCAGCAAAACTTTATTTTTCAAAGACTAAAAAATAAAAATTCAAAATGCAATTTGCAGCAACTAGATCCACTCTAGAGGAGAGCAGTTAGCGACTTACATATACATTATAAAAGGGATGGAAAATCTCCAATCGAGTTTTCGAAAGATTTGGGGCCCTCAAACAAATTGTTAAAAGAAAGATGTCGTCAATGGTTATCGTCGCTGGAGCCTCGAGTTTCCTTGGTAAGCATATAACCCAAGCTTTGCTTGATAAAAACTACTGTGTTATTGGGAGTGTACGTTCCGAAGAACAAGGAGAGAAATTGTTAAATGAGTTTAACAATGCGAAATTCTCATATGAAATTGTCAGAGATACCGAAGTCAAGCATGCGTTTGACTATGTTCTCGATAGACATCAAAATGTCGACAAATTTATTGATGCAGTTGGAACTATACCACTTGGAGTTAATTATGAACGGCAATTGATTAGACGTTCGGCAAAAGGGGTCATACATATTTTGCAATCAATTAGACACCATGCTCCAAACGTCTTTTTTCACCAAGAATGTTCAAGAGAGCGTCGAACAGAATTACAGTTTGTCTCACAAGATCCTAACTTTGTCGTTGATGAAAGTAGTTGGAACCCAGATAATGTTATCGCGGGGAAAGAATCACCGCAAGCTGCGTATTTTTATTCCAAAGCTGTTTCTGAAAAGGAAGCCTGGTCATTTGTGGACAAGCAGAGGACCCATTTCAAGCGTGTGACTGTTCTTCCAGCTTATACTTTTGGTCCCCAATGTTTTGACGTGGATGTGTCTGACAATTTGGGTGACTCAACTGAAATTCTTCATAGTATTTTCGATTTGAAGAAGAACTATACAATTCCCCAAATTAAGGGATTATTTGTTGACGCTAGGGATGTTGCATTGGCCCATGTTCTCGCTCTTGAAAAAGAAGAAGCAATAGGAAAGCGGTTGCTATTAGCTAGTGAAGAGTTTACCGGTGAAGCAATCGTGGGTATCTTGAATCAACACTATCCAGCGTTGCAGTTCCCAGAAGCAACAGTTGAAAAAATTGGGCTTAAGTTTGATAACAAAAACACAGTGGAGAACTTGCGTATGGAGAGCCTTATTCCGTTGGAAACCAGTATCAAGGATGGTTTTGATCAATACTTAAAAGTAAAGGGAATAATCTGCTACTTTTTCCATATGCAAAAAACTCTAAAAATACATGAATATTATATGGAAAACAATCATGATATTCGCTGGCATCGATTGTACTCATTCCATTTCCGTGTAGTTTTGTAAGGTCAATCCTACTGACTCTAATATCATGAATGGTACAGACTTAGGATAGCCCAGAGCAATAAAATAAATTTTGGGATCGTATTTAGATTCTAAGTTAGTCAATTTCACAAAACCTATGTATTACTAAGTAGGAAATTATCAATAGGAGTAAGAGGTAGCAGGCATTTGTAGGAGGTGAGAAGATAGTGGTTGTAAATACCACTAATCACTCATGACGTCGTTAAGCAATCTAGCGTTCCGCATAAATTTATCAACCAATACCTCAAGCTGTTCAGGCGATTGAGCTCCTTCGTGCCCGGCATCTATTTTAACCTTGCTCATTGAGGTAACTAAATCATCAACACCCTCACGAAAAGCTCCATTTGGCTTATCGAAGATCCTAAAAACAATAGCAGGATAAAGTACCATTTCACATTCTGATATAGTAGCTTTGGTATCATATGGGCCCCTATATTGTCTCGGAGTGGTTACGGTCGTTAATTCAAACTCAAGATCCTTTTGAACCCATGTACGTCTCCTTTTAATTCTTTCATATTCCGGAATACTGCCGGAAACATCAATAGTCTTTTCAAGGGGAAGTTTTAAAGACATGGATAATCTGAAATCATATTTCGAGGAAGGATTGACAATATATAAATCTGAAATCCTATTCTTACTAATATATTCCAATTTACCTGAACTATCTTTGGATACCGTCACCCTCTTTTCAGGTAACTGATACATCGAATCAGTTGAATCATGAATGGAAGACTTGAACTTTTCATTAGACTCCTTTTGCAAGTGAATGAGGAATTCTTTGGCTTTTTCGAATGCTGAATCATCAACTTCCATCTGGAAGTGAAAATGCCAGGACTTTCGGACAATACGAGAATCCCTCATGCCCCCGTATAGCCGAACTCTGGTATATTTATCAACAATTTGACCAAATTTTAACTCAATCTCGACATGCGACCTATTGTTAACTGCAATTGAGGAATAATGGGTATTTATCCAATCTTTGACTCCCTCAACAACCAGCTTGGTGATTACTAGGTGCTGAACCGTTATTTCATTCTTACTTTCTTTTATATCTAGCCGAACAAGAAAGGATAACCGATGGTGCAAAAGCCGAAACGAACTAACCCTAACTGTAACTTGAGCTCTCGATTCTTCTTTACCAATCACCTCTTTACGTTGTTCAGTTTCGATTTTTAGCAGGTTTTCATCATCAGATTTGGATTCAACTTTTACACTATCATTCGACATTATTCGTTTTTTTACCAAAGGACAACGAGTTAACAGATTCTTTACAGAAAGTCCTCATTGTCTTGAACAATCGTTTGAACATGTAAAGGAGAATGTGAACTTTTATATTGAAACAGAAACCCAGAGATGGAGCAACTTCCCCACTTAAACTCAAAAAAGATTATTAGCCAATGCATAATCCAAACTCTATTTTTATACGACGGTTGCAGACTTTTTAAAGGAAGAGCAGGTCAAGAGGAGATACTTAGAGAAAACCCTAGGAAACACACTTTTGTAGTGCAATGCTTCCGCCACTATTGACTTGGATTTCGCAGAAGAATGAGCTGAATCTTTTCTGTGTATTCATATTTGCAATGTCTAAACAAATTTATTGAAAGTATATACTGCTTACTAAAGAAGTTATGTAAGAGTTTTCTTAATTTAAATATGAAGTAATTGAATGACCGCTGTATGGTATGACTCACCCATTACATCATTGCATCATTGATCAACTCAGCATTCTGTATATACTTCTCAACCAAGGCTTCAAGTTGATCACGTTGGTGGGTGCCTTTTTAACTCATATTGAGCTTAACCTTGCTCATTGAAAGTCATCAACATTATCATCACCATTTCCTTTGGAGCTGCCAATGTTGATATTAAAAACATTGGCAGGATAAAGCTGCAACTTGGTGTGATATTGTTTTCGATATTCCGAAGGCGTGGTGACAGTCGTTAATTCAAATTCAAAATAGATAGGTCTCACCTTATTTTGTTGTCAAGCACTGGCTTTTTGTTTGTAATATTGCTTGCATTACAAAGCTCAATATCCTGAAGTCCTACAAAGGTAAAGCGTATTCATTTGAGTTTCATCCCTATCTAAGGATCTCGCTACGCATCTCGTATTGAATTGGCTTAGCGGCTTTATTATTTTTTTGTTCGTGCGGCTGCAAATTGACTAAACTTCTATTCGTCTATCTAAAGTTTTATGACTCATTGCTGTTTCTTAATTTGTTTGATGAATGAGAAATATAAATCCTATAGTACGGCTACCTATTTATTTTGAAGATATTAATAAATTGTATGTTGTTGCTTGTTAGCTGAATTGTATACAATCATGGATCAGCAGCTGTTAAAGCAAGATAGCATTGGTTTTCAGATAGCCAAACTTCCACATGAAGTAATTCAAATTATAAAATTCAGATATGGACTAGTAATGAACCTTTGTATATAGCTATAAGGTAAATAACGAGACTATTCTGCTGATATAGTTTATCGTTTTATTTCAATCATTCCTTCTGATTCCAGATCCCTATATTATCGGGGGCCTCAACCAAAAGGGCTCAATCTTATTTCACAATCGCGAGATTTTTTATCCAAGTACCCCAACCATTCTCCCAACCATCCTCGCAATGAGGAATATAAGCAATTGAGAGCAAGTCAATTTATTCAATTGCTTAGAAAGTACTCTGGATTGAAACCCAAGAATGTTCATTTCGAACGGGCTAAGCGATTTCTTTGGTTTCATCGACGATATCCTGATATATTAAGACAATTGCCCCGAATAGACATATCATTTAAGTACGGATTCCCAGAATTCCCTTTGGATAAGCAGTATAACAATATTTACAGAGTAGTAGACCTTCCAGAAAAGTTCGAGTATCATGAGAAATTGTTATCCAGCATTTCATCTCTTACTACCGAGTGTCTTCCAAAGTGGACTGAACGAGGTTGGGGTGACAATATCAGAGAATTAGGGCTAGGTTATGCTCCATATGAATTTCCTTCTCGATTATTCCCTAATTTAAAAGGGTTAAAATTATCAGGTCTTAGACAAAATCTACCATCAAATCTACCATCAACTGTAGAGTTCTTACAAGTATTTTTTGAAGGTGAATTTCAGGAATTGGATATTTCCTATTTAAAGAACTTACGAGAATTTGAAGCAGATACTGAGCTGCACAGATTGAGTGCTTTCACTTTCCCCGTTGGAATCGAGAGGGTGATAATATCTGGATTTTGTGAGTTTGAGGAGGGACACATTCATGGGACAGTATAGAACTATACCCAAATTTGAAAGAGTTTCGAATTTTGCTCGATAATGAAGGTTTTAAAACGAATATATTCTCAAACAATATTACTTTCCCTCAAAGCTTGCAAGATCTTGAGATATCGATATTTCAAGCCGGTGGATCCCATGACGATAAGGAGGTACCATTTTCAACTGTGGGCGGAAATTTAAAACTTCCAGACAATTTAAGAAGTTTTCGACTTCAGACCTACGAGGCCCAGATCTTTCCTGATCAGTTGGAGTTTCCACCTTCATTAAGGGTTTTATCAATTCTGAACATGTCGAACGAAGATGGGAATGGGAGGAGCCAGGAATGAAGGAAGATTGGTCTGGTGTTAAATTTCCAGATTCTTTAGTTGAGTTACAACTTAAAATTCCTATTACGCAAGTCACTGCATTTCCCAAATCCTTACATACTTTGACAATATATTCACCGTCTCCAGTTAAATCTTTGAATCTCGTTGATTTAGAAAATTTAGTTCAACTTAAAGTTGCTTGGTCTGGAATGCTTGAATTTATATGTAAGCTACCAAACAATCTAAAGACTTTGGATCTATCTGATGCCCGTTCTCTCAATAAAGTCATTATTGAAGCACCAAATTTGAAGAGAGTGAACTTAATCCACACCGAACTTGAATATTTAGACGCATCCCATTTTCATTTACCCGATTGCGTTGAACTGGTTTCAATTCAGAACGGGAAAGGTTTTAAGAAAATTGAGTCGAATTTCTTGCCTTCCCTGTTGAGGGAATTATCTTTGTACCATTGCAGAATAACATCGGAGATATTGGACCGATTTGAATTTGAAAACTATGAAAACCTCGAGAACTTGGATTTACACGAAAATGAAATTTCTCAAATAAGAAGCAACAGCTTACCCTGTTCATTGAAATCGATTCGTCTCGATAAAAACCCAATTTCTTCATTTTCGACACCTACAGTTCTCTTAGGCTTAAGAAACTTACAATACATAAGTTTGATATCAACCAAGATCAACGAATACTTCCAATCAGACGGATCGTTGTTATACTTCCCATCGTCGTTAATTCGTTTGGACCTAGCGGATAACGACTTGCAAGGCGGTGTTGCAGCCAAGTTAGTATTTCTGACATGTACTCAATTACAAGAGTTGTGTTTACATGGAAATCCACGCATGACTGATGTTCAAATTATTATAGACATTATTAATTCATCGAGTCCAAATATGGTTGAGTTGGCATTGGATTGTCTGGTTCGAAAGCATGTTAAGGAAGAAGGAATTGATTTCATGTGGTGCCACTACTGATGATATTGAATATACGTTATGAGCACAATTTATATGTTATTTTCAAATACCTTCTAGAATAATGGTTTTGTCGTATGTAGTCTTTTTGAATCAGTGTTATAAGAGTAGAAGAATTGGGTTTTTACAGAATCACACCCATAACTATGTCTATTGTTCTTTGCATGAAATTTACTTTTTATAGCTTAATCTACATAATTGATGAAAGCTGTGTGAAATGGGAATGTTTTGAGATAAGAATAAACACAGCCTTTGTGTCGCTACCATTGTCGTTAATTCTAGGCGTTTATTCACTTAAAATCTTATTTCTCTGGAAATGAATCAAGTCATAGTTGTTATTTCTTGCAAAGAAAGGGGAGCATGAGTTCGCAATTGGAGTAGTGCACCTGCGTAAACTGAACTTGTAATTGCTGAGCAGTGAATCTTGACTGCAAAAAAAGGGTAATCGAGGCGTGAGTGTTGGATCTAGCATCTTTAATGAAAGCGGTCAGGTACATGTCCCTTGGAGCAACTTTAAACATTATTTATAGGACTTGCATATTTGAAACATAGGAGAAGCATTGTTAGTAATTTACTCTTCTATTAGAATACAATGCTTATCTATGATAACCGTGCAACAATATCTTTATTTTGTGATCCAAATTCCCAACTAGAAAGTCCTTGGATAATTTATTTCCGCAATTTCTGTCTCTTATTAGGAGAAGGTGTGTTCTTTCAAAATAATGAAAAATTTGCTATTTGGCCCGGTGTGCATGTTAATCATCTAATTAGCATCCATTATAATGATACTTTATGAGATTGGAACGAATTCTATAAATTCTAACTGAATTGAATGAGAAAGGCAAAGTCAATTATCACCAAAAAATAAATCTGGGGTAACGGAACTTACCCAAATCATAATCCTTCTATCAATAATTATCACAAAGTTGGATTTATTTTATTCTTTTTAAACAATAACAATTTGATTTAATGTAATCCTGTGAAAACACGAAAACTAAACTAATTAAGTAATTACAACAATACCGTATATGCATCTCCAATTAACAATCTCTGATTGTTTTGGTTAAAAAAACTTCAAAAAAAGACTCCGAGTCCGAGATCTGAAAATACTAAAAAATAATAAAACAGTAATATAATTAGACTGCACATGAATTAGAAAAATGAAAAAATTGTGAAATTACGAAAACTGAACAATATGTTCGTCAAAGTAAGGGTTATTGATAAGAAAGAAAGGAGTTATACTTCCAAATGAAATAATAATGGAAAATAAATAGTGGAATTTAATTGGTTGAAAATATTTTTCATTTCAAATATTTTTTTGGGTTTGATATTTTTTAAACCGAGGAACAGCGCTGTACAGGAGAAAATTTTGTCAACAGTTTCGGATCATAAACTGTTTTCTGCTGACTTAGACAAGACTTTTGTATAAGAAATGAGTGTTTAATTACTCTATAACCTTCTTTGTATACTACTATGATCCTCTTTAAAGTGGTATATCACAATTAGTGATCATCTGGCCAAATTTAACCTTACGAAAAACTATCTGATAAAGAATCCAAACCACTAACCAAAACAAAGTTTCCAAGAAAAAAAATTGTATCCTCGGAGTTTTTTTTTGGTTTTTGGTTTTTCAATATGTGAATTTTTCAATCACCCGCAAAAATGTCCCACTTTAAATAACAGATAAAAAATATTTTTATTTAATCCCCCAGATTTGAAAAAAAAAATTTTATTATAAATATAAAGTTTTCCCATGTCTTTTTCTTTTCTTAAATTTCTTTCACATTGGTATACAAAACTTATAGAAAACTACATACAATAACTAATACAAAATGGATGAAATTGACTCTGTAATTGAAGCTGAATCCGTCTTAGTTGACAACGTCAAATCATTTGCTGCTGGTGGATTTGGTGGTATTTGTGCTGTTTTAACTGGTCACCCCTTTGATTTAGTTAAAGTTAGATTACAAACTGGTTTATACAATTCCTCAGTCCAATGTGTTAAACAAACAATAGCCAAAGATGGATTATTAGGGTTATATAGAGGTGTTTTACCTCCATTATTAGGTGTTACTCCCATGTTTGCTGTTTCGTTTTGGGGTTATGATGTAGGAAAACGTTTAGTTTCTAGTTATACTGGTAAGAAAGTTGAAGATTTTGGAATTAAGGAAATCTCAACTGCTGGTTTCATTAGTGCAATTCCAACTACTGGGGTTGCTGCTCCATTTGAAAGAGTTAAAGTTATGATGCAAATTCAACAAGGAAAAGCAAAATCAATGGCTGGCGTAGTTGCTGAAATGTATAGGACTGGAGGTATTGCGTCTATCTTTAAAGGGTCAGCTGCAACATTAGCCAGAGATGGTCCAGGTTCTGCATTATATTTTGCCACTTATGAATATGTTAAGAAACAATTATCTCCAGAAAATGGTGAATTATCTTTAGTTGCAGTTATGACTGCTGGTGGTTGTGCGGGTGTGGCTATGTGGTTGGGTGTTTTCCCAATTGATACTATTAAATCAACTCAACAATCTTCTAATGTTAAAGTTTCAATTGTTCAAACTACCAAGAATATTTATGCAAAAGGTGGTGTTAAAGCATTCTTCCCTGGGGTTGGTCCTGCTTTAGCTAGATCTTTCCCTGCTAATGCTGCTACTTTCTTGGGTGTCGAATTGGCAAGACAATTAATGGATAGTCTTATATAAGCTAGTCACCTCCCTTATCTTTGATTAGATAACAGGCCTATGATATAAAAAAGAGTTGCATTTTTGATTTTTCTTTATAGATGGAATAAGATTGGGGATTACCACAACCTTTTCCCAAAGATAGTTTGTTGAAAATTTATTTACATCCATGTATACAACATGGGAGATGTCCTACCTTATAACATCTCCTACCTTCAGTTCGTGTTTTAGTTTAGTTTTCTATAATATATATGCATTTTTTTTTTGGAAATATTTATATACCTACATGTACTTGCTTCTTGTTGGGGTTACTGCATATTCTCTCTCACACACTGCCAAACTAACACCTATAAATTGCCAGTCTGGTGTCACTATCCTTGTCGTATAAAACTGTGGTTTTGCAACCAATCCTAAAAAAGTCGTGTACTTATTACCAAAATCGTGGTTGAAGGAAAAAAATGATTTTTTCACTTCTCACTTTATGGAGAGTTTGTTCAGAGGGACGGAGCGCGAGACTGAGAGAGAGACTATCAAAGAAATTTCATTCAATTAATTATCGAAAAATCAATCTCCTTCAAGTCTTAGTTCACGATTTACAATTTATATTCAATCCACTTATAAAATACAATCAATTAAGAAATTGTCAAGATGAAGTTATCAGATGAACAAGTATGTATCTTTTTACAAGTCATTTATATATCGATTCCTCCCAACAGGATGTACTAACTCGTTAAAATTGTAGGTAAAATCAGAGCTTACCAAAATGCAAGCTTTCATTGAAAAGGAAGCCAAAGAAAAAGCCAAAGAAATCAGATTGAAAGCAGATGAAGAATATGAAATTGAAAAAGCATCAATAGTAAGAAGTGAAACTGCCGCTATTGATGCTAATTATGAAGCAAAATTAAAGAAAGCTAGTTTAGCTCAACAAATCACCAAATCAACAATTGGCAACAAGACAAGATTAAGAATCCTTAGTTCCAAGGATCAAATCTTGAATGAAATCTTTGATGCTGTTGAAATTGAATTAAAAAATTTGACTAAAGATAAAGCTAAATATTTACCTATTTTAGTGGGATTAATTGAAGAAGGTGTATTGGCATTAATGGAAAATGAAGTAAGTATTAAAATTAGACAGCAAGATTTAGAAGTTGCTAAAGAAGCAATTGAAATCGCTGCAAAGAGCTTTGCTGAAAAGGCGGGATTTGATGTTCTGATTACAATTAATGAAAAAGATTTCTTGAGTTCAGACATCGCTGGTGGGGTTGCTATTGTTAACGGAAGTGGGAAGATTGAAGTTAATAATACTTTAGAAGAAAGATTAAAGATATTATCAGAAGAAGCTTTACCTGCAATTAGATTGGAATTATTTGGTCCATCGGCTACCAGAAAATTCTTTGATTAGGGTGCCATTATTTTTTTGTTTTAATTAAATTTCAACTACAACCACTACGTTGTAATACGTAAATACAATTTATCTTCTTTTGTTCAAATATACATCAAATTAGCATAGTATTTTTTATAAAAGCTTTCTATCCTCTCTATCTTATCAATTTCCGTGGCGGCAAAAAAGCGCAGGGCCATCAGCGAGATTGACTGAAAAAAAAATTCTTTTGGAAGCTGGTTGGTATCAATTGGAGATCACTTGAAATCGAGCTATCCTCCGTGACTGTTCTACTTCTAATCAAATAGACTATAGTTGACTCTCCACAATGTATGGACGAATGAAAATATCCACAATAAACCGTATAATACGACTACCTATACGAAGCAACAGCTATCAACCACCATCCATCGCATTCAATACTCTAACACTTGCATTCAGATATAAGTCAACTAATAGTACACAAGAACAACAACCACAATATAATTTCGCAGAAAGGAGCTTCCCACCAGTCCCACTCTCTTCGGATCATACCTCATCTCCACCTCCGCCACCTCCAGCCCCCATGGTTGATGAAATCATAAATCGAATCAAACCAGTCACTCCTAATGATTTATACGTCTCCTGCACAATATTCGATAATCAAGGTAATATCACCTCCGTATCCAAGAAATACCCAAAAATGACATTCCTAAAAGATAATCATCTCTTTCCGAGAGATTTACGTAAGATCGATACATCTTCAATCGATGTTGCTCCAACCATTATGATTCGTCTAAGCGACGCCATCTTGGTGAATTTATTACACATAAAAGCAATTATCAAGAAGGATAGTGTCATGGTATTCGATACTTCCACACCTGAGGTAGCGACGAAACTAGGGTTGTTTATGTATGACTTGGAATTGAAATTGAAGACGAATGTAGGGAATAGTGGAATCTGTTATGAATTTAGGGCATTGGAATCGATTTTGATAAGTATTATGAGTTATCTTGAAGCGGAGATAAAATTGCATTCATCAAGTTGTGGGTTAATATTGGCGGAGTTGGAGGATGAAGTTGATAGACATAAATTACAGGAATTATTAATTCGACTGAAGAAATTATCGAGTTTTTATCAAAAGGCAGTCTTGATTAGGAATGTGTTGGAAGAGTTGTTGGAGAATGATGAGGATTTGGCGGGGATGTATTTAACGGAGAAGAAGATGTTTAAGCCTGATATAGAGAATTATCAAGATTTAGAAATGATTTTGGAATCGTATTATAATCAATGTGATGAATTTGTTCAAACTGCGGGGAGTTTGTTGAGTGATATTAAAGCAACTGAAGAAATCGTGAATATTATCTTGGATGCCAATAGAAATTCTTTAATGTTGTTTGAGTTGAAAATAACTATATATACTTTAGGTTTCACTGTTGCAACTTTATTACCCGCATTTTACGGAATGAATCTTAAGAACTACATTGAAGAATCAAATATTGGATTCGGAATCGTTGTGGTTGTATCATTGATACAAGGGTTATTCATCACTTGGTTGAATTTCAAGAGATTACACAAGGTTCAAAAATTAACCATGATGGGAACAGGAAATCCAAAAGCATCCTCAGCGGCATCGAAAGCAAAAACAAAGACAACCTCACTTAGAAGAATACCACAACCAATGCATAGATCTAGACAGAGGGATTCGTTCTGGTATAAGTTGTTCTTTGGACAGGGTATAAAGAGAAAATATGATCGTCCAACAAAACGAGAAAAGGATGTTATATGGAGGATGATCAATGATGAAAGACCATTAAGATAGACCATTTTCTTGTAAATAGGGTGTTAATATAATAATAATAGCATGTATATTTAGATTAATATTGTACAGATAGAAATACTTAATCAGATTCAACTTCATCTTCAGAATCTGAATCCTTATTCACAACTTCTCCATCTTCGTCTTCGTTTTCATCATCACTTGCTTTGATATATGCTGGTAATTTTGTGTCATCGTCGTCTTCAGCTTCTGGTTCTGGAATGACGGTGACTGTAGGTTCATTGTCTTCCTCATCATCGTCGAATTTCTTATGTTTTCCACCGGCTTGAACAGTGCTAGTAGATCCACGACGAATATCGCTCCCTCTAGCAACAGGTTGTGCACTCTTTTCTTCTCCTGGCTTAATCAAAGTCCCATCAACAGAAACAACCCTACCACTAGTATGTATAGCCTTAACCGTAAACTTCAATTTCCCTTCCACCTTAATCTCATTCTCATCTATCCAATATCCAAAATTCTTAAACTTCTTGTCACCCTCTTGTTCTTCATCTTCATTCACAACTTCATCTTCTTGTACAGGAACAAATTGCCAACTTTCAGGAATACCATATTTCCTAATACTACAATTAAAAGTATCTCCAATCAACAACCCCAAATGTCCCGCTGTTTGCATATATACATCACCCTCTAACACGTCACCAACCTGAGGACTCCAAACTAATAAATCAACATTTATCCACATGAACGTAAATGGAGAATTTCCTTCTATTTTCGCAATGGTAACCCTTGGGTCTTGTAAAGTTTCATTATCATCACCGATTGAAATGTTCAGATATGCAAGCACAACCCCCTTGGCGGCGGGGAAATAGGTCATGAGTAATGGGTCTAAATGTTGGGATTTTATTCCGTTGATAGGGTCATTGATATGCATGGGTGCGAGGGAGACATAGAGGGAAGTGGAGATAGTTTTGAAAGGTTCGGAGAGACCGGTGGTTGCGTCAACTGGATTGGTGCTTTTGGGGATGATGGCGATAGCTCTTCTTTTGGGGAAGGGTTGCAGGTCTTGGGTGGGTCTTTTTCTGGTTTCGACTGACATTGTTTATGGGATTGTATTTGTGACTTTCAGACCTGTCTGTAAGGGTCCTTTATTAGTTTTTCGCAAGTCTAGTAATGATAATTGGCAACCCTGATCATGATTGGAATAATAATTTTTTTTTCAAGATGAGATAGATGCCCAACTCGAGCCGCACATTTCCTATTTGGGACACTCACTATTTACTCTCATTAACTACAAATTAATACGCTATTAATACTTAATTACATACATAAAATCATTTACAATTCTCTATATTAACTTCCGTCTAATCTTAGACAACCCACTCCCACTCCGTCATCTAGAGTGTTATAAAGGTTACGGGGATGAGCGTAATGGGTGTCGTGAGGGGCTAGCGATCCCACTAACCCCCACTGGAACATCATCATCCACGGCCAACCCTTGGTGGGCTTTAAACGCCTTACTTTCCTCCTTCAATAACTCATCACTCTTCATAAAAACTCTCGCCTTCCTCGGGGTCGCACCTAATCCGGCAACGGGGCCTCTTTGCAATCTGGCAAAATTCTTCAAAATAATATTTGAATATTTCGTAGGGGCATCTTCTTGTTCGGTCCATGCGGGCACACCTACAAACCTAACCTTCTTTCCGCTTCCACTCGTACTTGTCGACGCTTGTTCTGAAGATGATGATATCGAGCCTGGTTGTGGACTGGATGAAGAAGAGGACCATAACAGAAATATGCTTTATGAGAGTAAGACAGAGCACAAAACAGCCCAATATGTCTCAACTCGGGGAGGTTTCGAAATTGTAGATCCAATGGGTATACCTCCCATCATCACCACTTCTGGTTCTTGTGATGGTGCTTGTGGTGGTGGAGAAGGTTTTACTTCGACATATTTCCGAATTTGGAGCTTGGATGTATTATTAGGATCAAATGTTACACTATGGAGTTGTTCTCGTTGATGAGTTACTAATGAGCCGGATTTGGCTGCTTGTTTGATATGTTGTTGAAATCTTTGATTGGCTGATAATTTTGCTGTGGCCGTAGCTGCTGCACTACTAGCTGTAGACATCTTTGGTTCATCAATGAGTTTGGTTCGGGTTGGAGATGTTGGTGATAACAATGATGATGGATCAATTGCTTTTCTTCGTGAGATTTCGGTGGGTGAACTTAGTGAAGAAGATGGGTTTGCCGTGATTGGAGAACCACGCAATGGAGAGCGAACACTCAAACTTCCATTTCTTGTTAATGCAAGGGCTGCCCCTGACGAAGCAAGATCAAGATCGTTTCTTCCAATAGGTTGAGAATTTGATCTTCTTCTCGTCTTGACGGTCGTATCTTCAGTTCCTTCATTCGATGACTGGACGTTTGAGGTTGATAAGTTGGGATTTAAGAATAGCATTGAAGTTGGTCTTTGTTGTGCTCTAGTTGGAGAAGCTCTACCCGGTGGGACTATCAACAATTGGGGTCGGTTTCTTTTCGGAGATGACGTTTGATTAATTGTGTTATCGCATAAATTTGAACTTCTAGATCTAGCGGATTGACAACATCTATAACGACACTGACCGTTATTCTGTGCCTTCTCCGAGCCAATTTTGTTGGTTAGCGACGGGAATGGTTCTGGCTTATTGTTCTCAGGAACTACGGCAGCCGGTGGTGGTGTCCCTCTAGGTGAACTTCCAACAGGCGGTGTCCCTCTAGGTGAGCTTCCAATGGGTGGAGTCCCCACTGAGGTTGATTCTCTAAGCTGTGGTTGTTGTCGCTTCACCTCACCATACCAAACTATTTATAGTTTATTTGAGAAGGATCCATTAAATATACGTGCGGTAAACTTCAATTCAATTAAGATCCAACACATGGCAAATTCTTTAACTTTAACTAATGAATTTTCAATCATACATAATCCTTGAGATATGAAAGTTATATGATTAGATAAAGTTTTTTCATTTATTTCAAATTTTGCACCTTGTCTTATAAATCTAGTTAATGTTGCTATGAATGTACCATTTTTCTTTTGGGAATTGAAAATATCATTTAATGAATTTATAATTGTAGTTTTAAAATATATTTGATTCTTACTATGACATAAGAAATTTGAATCAGTTAAATGTTCATAGGTTGGTAAAAATATTTTTCTTCCAAATCTTCTAAATATTGTATAAATTTCATTTAATCTTAAAGTTAACATAAATATTCTATGAAGAGAATATCTATCAATTGGAGACGCTGGTTGTTTAAGTTCATTTAATAATGGTCTTAAGGTTTTATTGATTATTGATTCAACTTGTGAAATAACGTTAAATAATTGTTTAATATCCATATCTATTAGCGTTGCTTCCATTAAATCTTCATTTTCTAATAATTCATCAAGATTATTTGTAGGTAACATAAATGTTAAATCATTTAATTTCAAATCAAAATCTTCATCCAAAACAATTTCATTTGTGATTTGTAATAAAGTTTCATAATATTTACTAAAATCTTCCCCTGATTTATTCAATGCTTGTCTTTCTAACTTTGCTTGAGTTAATCTTCTCTTATATCCTTGTAAACAGTGATTACTTATCACTTCCAATGATTTAAGACACTTATTAGCAAGCCCAATTGAAGGAATGGTTTCTAAAGCATTAGCTACAGTATCCGGGGTATCATAAGGGATATGCGACGTTGTGGATGTTATTGTTATATTCCCGCCAAGTTTAAATAATTTATAATTTGATAGCAAGTCTAATTTTGAATCAAATGCTTTATCATTAATAGCAAATACATTACCAACTGTTAATACTATATAGTGAATCAATGGTAATTCTGTAGGTTTATCTAATTGTTGAAGTCTTTTTAAGTTTGAAATGAATTGTTCTAATTTGATTATTCCATATTGATATTGAAGTATTTTACAATCAATTGATGTAATAATATTGGGTGTATAAGAAGTTGATTGATTGTTGTTTCGTATTATTGATGGAGTAGATGCTAATGATGACGTGGATGAAGATGAATTGGAATCGACATCCTCCAAGCCTGAAGATTCCATTGATATTTATGAATTATTGGTTTAGTAAGTTAATTCTATAAAAGTTAAGTTTAAAATCTGGTAAATTCGGAATTTGTCAAAAAAATGATCCTTTTGTCTCAAAATTGCTACTTTATATTGTGCAATTGGTAGCTCTTTGTTTCAAACAATAGTTGGTAGCCCTTCCCAAATAGTCATTAATCAATATATAGAGAAATACTATCAGGATCAATTCGTATAACCCCATATAGAGCTTTGACCAAGCTAGCAGAGAAGATATACAATATGGACTACTAAGAACCTATGAGAGAAACTTTTTTGGCAGACAGAAGCAATCTCATAATGGATCTTTTGTCGCCAATTATCGAAGATTGCTGTAAATTTCTACTGTTCGCTGGCATGGAATACTTGCACGTAATCCCGATCAACTATCTCTTCAATGTTGTAATTGGATTATAGATTTAGCGAGATTGGTCCTAATGGACATTCATATTACTTCGATTACCTGCTAGGGGTGGTATATGAAAGTATGTTTCAATTCTCATAATATCTTTAGGTCAATAAATTTAATTCTATTTCATAAGAAAAACGAGACAATGGAAAATTTTGTACTCAATTGGGAATTTTACCACCACACTACCCAATCAACCAGGGAAAACTTTACTTACAACATTTGGTTAAAAGAAGCTGCTGCCAATTAGACAGTCAGTCAGTCATCTCCCAATCAATCAAAGTAACAATGCTGTCGTCGTCATCATATCAATTATTGTATTATACAATTGGATTACTCCTTTTATTCCATTCAGGTTATTCATCATTTGAATTCCATAAACTTACAACCATATCTCATCATTCAACTTCATTACCATATGATATAATCATTGAATCTATAGTTGGGATTATCATAATTATAATTGGAAGTATAATATCAATAGAAAACCAACCATTCTTAACTATAGATAATGAAGTAGTTTCAAGTGATGCTAAATATTTGAAATTTATAGAAATGAAACAAAGTGTTCAATTGAGTGAAAAGGTTGGGATTAATGATTATGAAGAATTGAATAGTAGATTACCATTTGTAAATATCATTAAAAAGAGACAAGAATATCATGATTGGATTAAATGTCAGTGAATATGTTATTAATATATAAGTATGTATATATATAAGTAAGTGTTTATAAAAGTAAACTATCAAAGTAAATAGCAAATGAATTAACCAGCAGAATGTACAAAGTATAGAAGATCAGTTATTCTTCTTTTGTACTTTTTCAGCTTGAGTGTTGTTTTTAGCTTCTCTATTCTTTTTAGCCTTTGGACCAGCTTCAGTATCTAAGAAATAATCCCACCATCTAAAACTACTAGAATATCCTCCAATGAAATAATGATGATGTTCATCATGATGATCAGCACCAGCCCAGAATGGTAAGAAATGATGTAATGACCATGGGAATTCATATCCTGAATGAGCATCAACCGCTTGGAATAATCTAAGAACAATCCAAACACAAACAGTAAATAAATGTAATTGTTTAGTAATAATACACCAAACAATTGGGATTCCAACTGTTCCCATCCCTAACAAGGCAACTTCAACAGGATGAGCATATTCTGCAGCTAATCCAAATGGAGCAGCATATCTATGATGTTGTTTATGAATATATTTATAAAAGACTCCATAATGTAAACCACGATGTAACCAATAATGCCAAGCATCTTCCAATACAAAGAATACTGCCCATTGAATTAACATTTCCTTTATAGATGGGAATGGAACTTGGAAAGTAATACCAATTTTTTGACATAATGGATGGAAAAACCAAATTGGAAAAGCTTCAACTAAGAAATGAGAAGTTAATACTGATTTAAGACATTCCCATTGTTCTTTATTACTTGGAAGCTTTTCATCTTGAATTTTCCAACGATTGAAATATGGAACTCTATCAATAATTGCCCAAGGTAAACATCTACCAAAATAAAATATTTCATGAGTTAAAAAGAATAATAATCCAGTAGCAAATAAATCATTTGCCATATAATAATAATAAGCTCCCCATACTTTTTCAATGAAATTTAAGTTTGGTAATTGATTGAAATTATTGAAAGAATCAATGAATGTTGTTACATTCAGAAAATTGGAATAATCATGATATACACTGGACATTGTTGAAACCAACCAGATGACTCTCTACCTTCGCTTTTGTTTAGTTGAATAAAACTGGATGAATTAAGTCCGTTGACTTTCATTGATTTCTTCTTTCTTCTTTCTTCTTCTTTCTATTCCTTTTAAGGAAAAGTGTCAAAAAGTTTTCACGCGCCTCAATGTATTACATAAAATTTAAATTTAACAACCGTTACATTAGTCGTGTCTAACTCATTTTATTTTTAATTTCTTTTTGTTTTGTTTTGCTTTTTTTTCTTAAACGATGGGAACGAGGAGAAGAAATTGTAATTAAACGACAAGCATTAAAAAATATTATTAGGATACGACTTACAGATAAGATCGTATATTACGGAAACGTACCCAATTTAGTTAATATCCGAAATTGACACCTTTTCTTTATAGTAAAAGTAATTTATTACATGGTTGCAAAAAAGGTATCAAACAATATCATCAATAATATTTTAAAATTTTCATTGCTTTTAGATTGATGTTTCATTAGACACAGAACTATATTCCTTATCTTTGAAATTTCAGTAAGCTAAATTCTTGGCCGTTTAAAGCACAACCTCTCGTTGTTACTACTGGACAGTTCAATTTTTGTTAAGCTCGGAGTTTTTCATTGGTTGCTTGGTCCTGTTGGTGTTACTGTGTCTCTTTTAATGATTTACAGGTTGATAATTTTGCTAACACTTCTTCGATATTGTCAAAGAGTTCGGTAATATCAAGGCCATGACTAGCTTGTGTTGTTGTATCACCTTCTTCTGCTGTACGAAGTCTGTCAAATTGTCTACGGTGGCAGTTGTGTGTGATGATCTTATTCCTTTCTTAGGGGTTGTTTGGTTGGCTCTTTCTTTTCTGTGTAGATTCTTGAATTTATATCCTTCCTTGTTCTGATTGGGATGTTCAAAAACTTAGTTGCAGAAAACTAGTTTTCGAACAAAACAATAAAAATTTGGAAGATTTGTATAAAGTCAAGCTTTATGTTTTCTTCCTTAAGGTTTGAAACAATGTTTGAGGACAAAGTTTCCTAAAAGTGAACCATCTAATTAGTTCAAATAAACCACCAACTAAACTACACAATACCAACAAATATGAATTTATTCTATGGAACCCAAATTAAATATCGAACCTACAGTTATCACTGGACAACCTAATCACCAACGACAACGAACTGTATTACCATCAGTCTTTCTTGTGGTAACAACCTTATACCTGGTTACCTCTATCATTGTCAACTATTTACCAACGATAATGCCAGAGGATATACAGGTCCCAATAGTACTTGCAACCACCCATACTACGATCCCCTCTATGATGCAGTCTCTTATCACTCATGTGTGGAGATTAACTTTAGAGCTTGTCCAGAAGAACCTTCAACTTGCTTCAATCGTTGCTGCTATTGCTGCTGTGTTGGTTTGGATTTAACCTTACCTTGCTACTTTCCGTAGTATTTGGGAACCGTTGAATGTTATTATTTGTTTACTTGGCTATAAAAGCTTTATCAGATTATAGTCAAGTGTTATTCATGTGTCCGTTTCATGTCTTGGTTTCGTATTAGGCCACATTTACAAGAAGGTCCTCGGAATCAGCAAGTGGTGTACATGTTTAAACTTGATCAGGCAACATCGAAAGGATTATGAATGCTTACGTTCCAAGAATTACTGTAGGCTGGTGGGCTAAGCTTTCACAGAAAGTCCATACCGGTTACTACATGGTTCGTGCTGCATTTACACATAGTAACTCACATTACGTTTTTCCACCAATTTCGTTTGCTGACCAAGGAACAGATATTTTAAGTTCAATTAACCAGACCATTCACACGATGCCATTTAATGAAACATTAGTTAGGGAAGCACTAGTAGAAGCGGCTACAACCAAAACACACCCTTCAGTATTGGAATTACATTCAATCAAGTTTTCAACATTGAATGCTTTTAAAATTGGTTTAAATAATATTGCTTAACTATGTGTTTCCTATACTCTAGCCGATTCTCAAAATCACTTCCCTTAGTTTCGGATTCGAATATTTAAAGATTTGGATTTCCTCGAATTTTCGAAGACAGAATTTTGTTAATTTTAATTAGTCATTATTCTACAATATACATCTCCATTCTTCCAGTTATTAATCTTATTAGTTCTGGATACTTCCCATTGGAATTCATCTGTTAAGTGTAGATACCAAGATCCCTTTTCGTATTTGTTACACGAAACACAATGATGTTCAATGACGACCAAGCAAACTCTAAGTAAATGAAATACATAACCAGATCCAGCAAAGGAAGGAGACAAGCCACGAGACAAGCCACGAGACAAGCCACGAGGCAGTCTTTGAAAACCCAAAGCTCACAAGTCAATTTTTCTTTTTCAAGTTTGAGGAACTCTCGGAGGAAGTCTGGTATGAATCTACAATTGTAGACTCTGATGAAATGTCTGAAACGAATAATAGCGAAACGGCTTGATTCAGTTTTTTCTTACCCCAATATTACCATGTCGTGAGGGGTATGCAGTTCTGCATAAGTCTTTTGATCATCCCAGTGCTGATGTAGCAAGGAAACTTCAAGCATCCGACTATGAAAACAACAACTACTTCATTATGCTAAAAATTGTGAAACATGTATTCGGAATAATACTGTTGCTTAGTCCAAACGTATCCAATTTTCCACCTATGACTTACCCATTACATTCTCTTCATGTAAATATCCATTGACCAATCGATTTCCCCCTTTACCCCTTCAATTGATGATTACTTGCAAGGGAATCACAATTAATCACACCAAAGGGAGGAAGGATGATTTGAGACATGAAATGGTTATAGACAGATGTGATTATGGAGTAAGATTCATCTAACGGATAGCAAATATATGGGTGAATATAACATTACCAGATGGCAACAACAACCAAGAAGCAAGTACTTCGTATTTTGCGGAAAAGGAAAATATTCTGGTGAGATAAATACCAGCAAAATTGAAAGACTGGTTGCGAAATTGTCTGTGGTTCTTAAGGAAAAGGTTAATGGTATTTATAATCTTTAAAAAGCAAGAAAAAGTTTAACAGAATCCTCAAAAAGAGGACCTTCTCCAAATTCTGCCAAGACGCAAGAAAGCATACCAATCAAGAACATCAACAAGTCTTAGGGCAACGCGTATCCGAATGAACGAATTCTAATGCCAAGACATCCAGACACTCACCAAGACGTCCAGAAACTGACCTAAATAGGAACATTGAGCTACGTAACAGACCGAGGTTGCCAAGAACATAAAAGCGTTGAGCAAAAAGAACTTTCTTCTGTTTTCTTAGATCCTTTGAAGAAAAATGTTGTTTAGAAGAATCTCTCCTCACAATGAACTCTGATCAAGAAATTTTTCTATAAATAATTATTGGGAGATTCTGTGTCAAAGAATACATTCAACAGATCTCGCGTTGTAGAGAATTTGAATGGGTAGAGAATACGAATTCACTCATTTGAAATTACTTAATTTAACAGAGATCTAACTGCAATGGTTTTCACAGTTGGAATTGGCGTTGTAGTAACATTTGTTCTAAATGCCATACTTTTATCGCCAAGTTTAATTTTGCGGACAATACTTATTCTCTTACATATTAACTCATAGACATATAACAAAGTCATATCGTCTTTTTCGAAAAGTAAATATATTTATCTAAGAGAAGAATATGTACTCCACTCAATTGCCAAGTTCAGGAAAGATAAGCCTTTCAAGTGATTCGAAAGCTTTTCTGCATGTAGTCAATCAGTTTGCAAAATTGGTTGCAAAAAAACCTACAAAATCAAATTTTAAACCATCAACACTGCTTAGTACACTAAAACTGAGCACTTATTTGACGAATAATCCCATATCAAAGGATAATGAGAGATTCGTGTATTCTCGCTATGTTTGTTCACTTCACTGTCTCTTCCAATACATTTTCTTATCTTATGTCAAGTAGATGTAGTTTATTTTGATTCAAATGTTTATTGACATCCGGGAATGTGATCCTGTTAGGAAAGGTGAATCAATTTTAACCATCACAAGTACATTTGCCACACCTTTTTTTCAACATTGTGATTTATTTTATGTAAGTTACGGAGACTATATGTATGGTATACATATCCCATTAATAAAGGGTGATCCTGATTCTTTACTGTGCCAACGGAATGCCACATTTTTTTGCAACCTTCAAAAATGCGCAATTTAAAATAATAAGTACACTTGCCACAACCTTTCAATATTGTGGTATACTGTATATATTCATGCAAGAGACGGATTTAATGCATAGACTATATGTATGATATACATATCCCGTTAATAAAGGGTGATCCTGATTCTTTACTATTTTTTTGCAACGAAATGCGACATTTTTTGCAACCTCCTAAAACGTGTAGTTAAACATCCCCAGCCACAACTTTTTGTGGTTTTTAAATTTTATGCAAGTTATAGAGTTAATGCATAGACTATATGTATGTATGATATGCATGACATATCGGATCGGTTAGTAGATTTTTGTGTCCGCATATCAAGTGCATCCCCCAAAATGACTTGCATAATTCCGTTGTTTGGAGAATCCATATTTGGTGGAGGGATCAGAAATGGACCCCCCACGGTATGCAAAAAGACCTTGCTCCCCCCAATGATCTAGAAAAGATGGGGGACCTTGGGGGAGAAAGAAGGATCCCCCAACATTTTGATATTTCAATAATACAAATATGACATGATATTGTACATATCTAATTGACCAATAAACAACAAACATATCTACGAATCTGGATACAAGAAATGAAGCTTTCACCAAAGAGTCAATGCTCCTCCTATCAGTTAATTCTTCTATAGATATCACTCTATTAATTATATTCTCTATAAACCACTCTTAAATGTCCATGGATTATAAGGTATCAGTCTATATTTTTCTATAAAATGCTCTATAAGGCAGCCTGTCTTATGTTTCGTTTTGTTCCCTTAACTACAATTGGTATCATTCCTCCAGTAGGTATAGTAAATTTTCTATGTCCAAGAACAGTAATAAACGCTCTAATAGTTCCAGCATGAGAAGTAATTGAAATCGCATCATGATCTTCATCATTATCAAATATATGTTGTAAAACTCGATTCATCCTGACAAATTGTTCATGTAAACATTCTCTCTTTTCAGCAAATTCTTTTTCAAACAATTCATCTTCTTCAGGAAATCCATCCATAAATCTCACATTGGGGAACTTGGTAGCAATTTCAGTTTTGGTTGATCGTTTATGACATAAATGTAATCCAAGTGTTTCTCTCACATTCTCAAATATGATAGGTTCGGTATTTGGCCAAGTTATATTATGGGTCTTTATTGATCTTTGTAATGGAGAAACATAGAATTTCGTTGGATATGGTGCACCATTGTTTAATTCCTTACACCAAGCTAAATGATTCTCTTTAGCTTGATTGATCCCTACTTCAGTTAAATCTGCATCTGGACCCCATGTAAGTTCTCCATCAGTGCCTAAGAATCTCCATTTACTAAACCATTCTTGTTTCAGATATCTTTTGGTAACTAAATTATGCCAACCTTGACCATGTCTTGCCAAAAAGAATAATTTATATTGAATATGATCTTCCGAGGTGTTGTTTAAATGGTTGAGAGATTGTATGATTTGTTGCCAATCTTGTAAGATCCCAAATGATTCTTGAGTATATCTGAATTCCATATCTTTAGTATCTAATGAAGTTTGTTTGAAAAATCCTGGAATTGATTCAAATTCCCATAAGAAATCTTGTGGATTTTGTTGTTTTAGAGTTGAAAGAAGAGTATGATATTTCTCATCTTCCTCAAGATCTCCATGAGCATCATGATGATCTCTTATATCTGGTATTAATAAGGACATTTGGTGTATGTATATCTATAAGTTGTTCTGTATGGAATCAGATCTGGTTAGATCTGAGTCATAATATCCAGAAATTGAATTGTTTTTTTTTAGTACGGGATACCGTACCAAGTTATTTTATTTTCTAGTACGGGAAAATTGTACTTACGCAAATGAGTAGCTGTTTAATTTGTACTGTACTCAGTTCAATTCGCTGCCGAAGGGAAGAAGAAAAAGACGTGGCAGACAAAAGAAGAAGAAGAAAAAGAGGAAGCGAAAAAAAATTAAAACCTTTTTTCTTTTTAAATTTCATTTTTAAATTGTTTTTCTTTTTCAATCATTATTCCTATAATCATTTACTATAAAAGAGTAGACTACTTTAATACTTAGTTAGATCAGTAGAGTCAGAGTTTGTAGATAATTGCTAGCATTCAAAAAGAAACTAGAAACAGAAGAGAGAGAAAGAGTATATGCAAGATGTCGGAGGAAGATTCATTTATTGATACTACAATAAATCTACCAGATAATAAAACACCCTATGAAAATAACAACAACAACCAGCAAAAACAAGTGGATGATAATACAGAACCAGCACAACCAGAATTAACTGAACAAGAGAAAACTATGCAAGTGATTGAACCAGATAAGGAGGAAGAAGAAGAATTAGCTACTGATAACATCAATCCCCAAGAACAAGTTACAAATGGCAACGCCGCGGATGATGAGGAACCACCAGCTAAACGTATCAAATTGGAAGAACAAGAAGTTGAAGCTCCAGCAGAACCAGAACCAGAAACTATCATCAGCAATGGGAACAATATCAGGGAAAACAAAATTGTCGTTGTCCCCCACACAAAACCTCATTTATTCTATGTCCCATTAAAAACCGGATTAGTTTATGATGTAAGAATGAGATATCATGCCAAAATCTTCACATCCTATTTCGAATACATAGACCCCCATCCAGAAGATCCAAGACGTATTTATCGTATCTATAAAAAATTAGCAGAAGCAGGATTAATTCAAGATCAATCCTTATCAGGTATAGAAGATATTGGACCATTAATGCATAAAATCCCCATCCGGGAAGCTACTATTGAAGAAATCTTACAAGTTCATTCAGAACAACATTTGAAATATATCCAATCTACAGAAACAATGTCCCGGGATCAACTTATGGAAGAAACAGAAAAGGGTGATTCAATCTATGTCAATAATGATTCTTATTTCTCGGCGAAATTATCATGTGGTGGAACAATTGAAGCCTGTAAAGCCGTAATTGAAGGAAGAGTGAAAAATTCATTAGCGGTAGTTCGTCCACCGGGACATCATGCTGAACCAGAAACACCAGGTGGGTTTTGTTTATTCAGTAATGTCGCCGTCGCCGCCAAAAATATCCTAAAATCATATCCTGAATCCGTTCGTAAAATCGTCATTGTCGATTGGGATATTCATCATGGTAATGGTACTCAAAAATCATTCTACGATGATCCACGAGTCTTATATATCTCCTTACATCGTTATGAAAATGGTCGATTCTACCCGGGGACAAAATACGGGAATTCCGATCATGTAGGTGAGGGCCCTGGTGAAGGATATTCCTTAAATATCCCTTGGAGAAGTGCTGGGATGCATGATGGTGATTACGTATATGCATTCAATCGAGTCGTTATACCTACCATCATGGAATTCGATCCTGATTTGGTGATTATTAGTTCGGGATTCGATGCTGCTGATGGGGATATTATTGGTGGATGTCATGTCACTCCCGCCGGATATGGATATATGACCCATATGTTAAAAGGAATAGCCAAGGGGAAATTAGCCGTGATTTTGGAAGGTGGATATAATTTGGATTCGATAAGTAATAGTGCATTGGCAGTTGCAAAAGTATTAGTTGGCGAACCACCTGAAAACACAATTAGTTCTCAACCCCATCCTGAAACAGTGGAAGTTTTGGATGAAGTGGTGAAGATTCAACTGAAATATTGGAAATGTTTAAGACATGGAATTCCCACAGTGGCGTTTGATGATGTATATGATATGAAATCTAATGGTACTTCAATGGCTTATAAATTGGTGAATATTGCTGATCCTATTCGTGCTCATCAATCAAATGAATTATTTTCCAAGTATTCATTTATTAATATTCCTATAATTGCCAACAACCCCACTGTGGATGATAATAAAAGTGGACCATTCACAACTGATTTACCAGGACAACTTGAAGATATCATAATTGCCAGCCCCGATGTATTCAACTCCACCACAATCATACTATCCATCCATGATCCACCAGATATTTGGGCAAACATAAACCCCGTCAACGGAACCATCGAAACCAACTCTTCAATCATCCTAGAACATCCCGTCGTCCAAATCATCAACAAAATAAAACAAGAACAAGAAAAAGAATCCGATTCCACTCCCTCCGCCTCCACCCTGGACTCAATAGGCTACATCGACATCAACATCCCATCCTATCAACTCCCCATCCCCGGTCTAACCACCTCCAACACCCCGGCCTCCACATATAACCCAATCATCTTCGCCCAAGAAATCCTCTTATACATATGGGACAACTACATCTCCTATTCCAACTCCATTAAGAAAATCATCATGTTAGGTTTCGGTGACGCCTATCAAGCCATCGTTAACCTATTTTCAAAACGCCCCTCCCTGGAAATCAAAGAATTGGTAAAAGGTACCATCGCATTCGTCAATCGAACAAGTTTGAAACCATTAGTCCCCGTCATGGATGAATCGATGGTGGATTGGTATTATACCAATTCTGTCATTTTTACTAGTTGTTATAACCCCTGTTGGACGGGTCTGAATGGGGTGGGGAGATTGGCATATCTGAGTATGACTAGTACTAGTGGTGGGGGCGAGAATAACCTGACACCGGGGGATGAAGGGAATAAGAGACCTAGAAGGAAGTTTGGTAGGGTGATTAAGGCGAGTGTGGATGGGATTTGGGATATTATGCATGAGAGGTTTGATGAAGGGGTGGATTTTATATTGGATTCGATTGAGGATTGTTCGAGCTCTGAAAGTGGTGTAAATAATTAATTAGAAAGAAAGAAAAAAATGAAAGAAAAGTTTATTGTTATTAGTAGTATTTAGTTTTAAAATGTGTATTTCTATAGGATTTTTTTGTAATATTATATATTTAGTTATACAGATAAAGAGAAGTACTGGGGTTCATACATAACTAGGAAACCGTTTTGCGAAATCTTTTTCTAAATCATCAACATCAGGTAATGAAATATCACTGGAATTACTTAATCGTCTTTCCATCAGTTGTTTATTCTCCGGGGATTTCAAATATATCGGTTTCTTAGGCTTTGGAGGTGCCTTCTTCTCCTTACCCTTATCCTTCTTCTTTTCCTTCTCATTCTCCTTCTTCTTTTCATTCTCCTTCTTCTTCTCATTCTCCTTCAGCTTCTCTTCTCTCTTGGAAGACAATCCAATCGGTACTTTAGGCGGCACAAGCACCTTCTTCTTACTCGACGCCGATCTCGCCATCTTCATCAGTGCTCCAGGGGTAGTATGCACATTAATAGCCTCAATATCATCCACATCATTCATATCCGTAAACCTTCCGTATCCGGAAGCAAGCCTCGGAGTATTATCATTCTGATTATTATTAAACAACATCTGCATTCTTTTCTGGATGGATAATTTCTTAGGCACAGTCACCACGGGCTTTTCTTCCGCCGCTGCCTTATTTCCATTCTTATTACCATTACCACCACCAGTAAGAATTTGCTTAATTGACAGAATACTTGATCGTTTTATATGTTTAATCGATCCACCAGTATTATTCAGATTGATCGGCGCTCCTCCTCCGGTACTTATCTTCCTGATATTATTCTTTATAGTTGCGGTGATACTACCTCCTGTATCATGTCTCTTGGGTGGGAACCCATATCCTCCCCCGGTATTATTATTGTCATCTTCTCTACTCTTCAAGAATGCCAATGTTGTCGTCGTATCTGTCTCATTGCTAAAATCATAGATTTGTCCACCTTTGCCTAATTCATGCTTGACATGGTCTTGGATCGATGGGGTTGATTTGTTGCTTTGGGAATAGATACGGTGGTCGATATTGGAGTCGTAGAAGGCGCTTAATGGACGTGCTGGTTTGGATCTTGGCGTGGTGGCGGTTGGTGCCTGAGGATGTTGCAGTTCGTGGTGTTGGTATGCTAATGCCGCGGCTCGAGATGGAGTGGTTGAAGTAGGCGGTATTTTGGTATTAGTGCTAGCTGGAGATCTAAGCATCTGAGTACGTTCAGTAAGTGCTGCAAATGGATCTGCTGGTTTGGTGGCGGTAGCGACAGCTGGAGGAATGGGTGGTTGTTCCTTGGTGATTCTTTTTGGAGTAGTGGGGACAGTCGCGTCTTGGAGTGAAAGGACTGGTTTTTGTTTTGGTTTTGGTTCTTCTCCCTTTTTGAGTTGTTCACGAACACTGAATGGAATAACATTAGGTAATGTAGTTTCACCTTTCATAGCCACAATTTCGCCTAATAATTGAACCGCATTTGGTCTTCTTCTTGGATCTCCACGAAGACAAACTTTGATTATATTTTTCAATCTTGCAGAAAACATCAGTCCTGGTTGATCTTTAAATCTTAAGGTTTCTGAACAATTTAAGATCTGGACATCTAATTCTTGCAATGAGGTTTGATTAGGCAGTTCAAACGGAGTAGTATAATAACATAATTTATATAAAAATATCCCTAAAGCCCAAATATCCAGTTTATCATCAATGGGGAACCCTTTAGTAAGATCAATCATTTCTGGAGCACGATATTGAGGAGTAGTATGTTGTAATAAATCATCTTTCATTAATTGTAATTCTTGAGGAGATTTTGGAGGTTGTAAATAATTAACAGAAGATCCAAAATCACATAATTTAAATGTCCCCTTTCCATCTATTAATACATTTTCTATCTTGATATCTCGATGAATTAAAGGTGGACGTAAATGATGACACATAGCAACTCCAATTGTAACTTGATACATAATATCAATAATTTCAGATTCAGTTAATTTATGTACCAATCTAGTATTCATGAAATCAATAAGTCCATTTCTTTCACAATATTCCATAAGTAGGAATACTTCATATTGTTGTTGTTGTTGTTGTTGTGAACCAGTTGTTGTAGTAGTATTTAATCTTGAAGCATGAGAATCAATATATGATACAATATGTTTATTACCTCTTAATCTACGCATAGCATCTACTTCTTGTCTCAAAAGACTTAATTGCCATTTACTTGGTACTACCACCCTTTTCAAACAAGCAACATTAGATCCTTGAAATGGGGGATCTATATGACAAGTATAGACATGAGCAAAGCCACCTTCTGAAATATATTTGATGATTGATACTTGATGTGATCCAACTGTTAGCTTAGTACCTTCTCTATAAGCATTGGGTGGTGGTGCTGATGGCATTGTGTTTCTGCTTGTTCTTGTTGTCTTGTATAAGATAGATCCCTTAATCAATGGAGGTGAAATTGTAATGATAAAATCGACAATCAATTAAAAGTGTGTTTCTCTCTCTTTTTCTAGTGTCGTAAATGTTGAACCTAATTAAAAAGTGACAGAAATGAGATGGTTCCGACACTCCTGTATATAAGATTATACACTATAACAACTTAATGATTATTCTTCTTAGTAAGATAATATCACATAAATATCTTGTAACTGAAATGGGTTGGGAAAAGGGTTGTGCCTGGATGATTTCAAGTTATGATTAAAATGAACATATAGTCTCTCTACTGAGAATCAAGTACATTGGTGGCGTTCTATTGTTAGATTCGATGAGGGCTTGGTAGCGCTTTATAGTATTGTATGAGATAACTCAACGGTTGCACTTTGATGAACAACTAGAGGAATACATGACTATTAATACCGTGCATTTTTTGGAGGGGTCAAGCTTATATTTTAAATTGACAATAATGAATAACCATCTATATCTGGTTCATACATTCTAAGTAACAATGTCGGTAACTATTCATTTGCTATAATTTAGCTTTTTCTTTGTAGAAATAAACTATAAGTTTATGAAAGGAAACTCTTAAATAGTTTATTGAAAGAAAATATATAGAGAGTCTTCCCTAGTATGATGACAGCTTAATAAGAAGTAACCAGCAACATCAGTCATAATCCAATCAAGCAATATGGCATATAATAATATTGAATAAAAATATGGTTTGAATAAATTTAAATTTGATTGCAAAACATTCAAAAACTCATCGGAAAAAATTAATTTTCCATACAAAATAAATTTTATCAAACATCATCATCTTCATCATCTCTAATACATTCTTCAAACATCAAAAATGAAATTATATTTTGAAGCAGAGAAATTCTTAAAGCCTAGTAATAATAATAATGGATCTCTTCAATCTCGTATCTTCAATGATACCAAATTAACTAATTCACCTAAACATATTTATGCCGTTGTTTATTCAACGCTTAAATATAAACCTTATATAAATATAATTATTCAAAAATCCAAGATAAAACAATCCCTTCAAATGAAGAAATTGAAAATATCCGATGAATTATTACAATTATTAATCCATGATTTATTATTCTCATCAAAAGGAAGAATTCAAAGTGGGAAACATCCAATTAAGGATGCATTCTTATCTAATAAAACAAGACTTCAGGCAGAATTCACAAAATTAAAATTAAAATATAAGGCTAAATCAGTTTCAGAATTACCCACCAAAGAAGCAGATGAAGATGAAACTCCAGTCAGATGGTTTAGAATCAATACCATCAAAATCGACCCAGCATCATTCTTTAAAAAATATCCATTTTTCCAAAATCTCCAACCAGTAAGCACATTTCAAGAATTAACAACCACAGGCATGTTATACACCGATGACTACATCCCCAACCTATTCGGAATCTACCCCCGTGAGAAAATAACCTCAACAGAAGCGTATAAAAACGGCCACATCATTATCCAAGATCGTGCATCTTGTTTCCCAAGTCATATCCTAAATCAAGACCCCTCCGACATCCACCACGAAGTCATAGACGCATGTGCCGCCCCTGGAAACAAAACAACCCATGCTGCATCATACTTACCAACCCCTGAGTCCGTAGTCTATGCATTCGAAAGAGACGCCAAAAGAGTAGAAATCTTGAAAACAATGTGTGATCGTGCTACAGGAAAGACCTATAAATCATTAATCCAAATCACCCATGCTGATTTCCTAACCACATCTCCACAAGATTTCACCAATGTCACGGGACTTATAGTAGATCCATCCTGTAGTGGATCGGGGATCTTTGGTCGTGCCTTGGAGGATTCAGAACAACAACAACAAGAGGTGGATACTGCCAGATTGAACAAATTGGCAGCATTCCAATTCAAGATCGTTAAACATGCCATGCAATTTCCAAAAGCGAGAAAAGTAGTATATTCAACCTGTTCAATCCATGCCGAAGAGAATGAAAAGGTTGTGATTGATTTATTGAATGATGCCGAAATTAAGAAACAAGGATGGTGTCTTGCTCCTAGGGAGATAGTTATTCCAGAATGGGAGAGAAGGGGTTGGGAACAAGAGTTTTCATCTATTTCAGGGGATGAGGAAGAAAGGAAAAGATTGGCAGGTGGGTGTGTGAGGGCGAATCCTAAAGAAGATGGGGGCATTGGATTTTTTGCAGCTTGTTTTATAAAACAAAAGGGTGCAAAAAATAATAAGAAGAAAGAGTCAGCGAGACAAAATGATCAGAAGAAGAACGGCTCCAAAGAAGACAAAGTGGAAGATGGAAATAATGCCGTTGATAAAATGGATAAGGAAGAACAAGAAGCGCAGGATGAATGGAGTGGATTTGAGGATTAGTAAATTGACTATGAGCTAATGCGCACTTTGTACTAATTTATATAATTTTCTATTATTTTCCTAAATTAGAAAGTTTCAATAGATCGGCTAATAATGACACAGATTCTAAACCGAGGTGAAATAATAAGTAGTCGTTCATAATATACTTGGGTGATAAACCCGACAATTATTTCTAAACCCTTATTTTCATTATACTATAAAATATTCACAAAAACTGATATGGACACCAACTTCCGGTATCGTTTAAAAGATTTCCATGAAATTTTGCGCTCTACTTTTTCCACGGCATTACAATTACATTAACCGGGCCGTTGAAGGATATATTAATAATTAAAAACGCAACTTGCAATATCAAATGATATCATCCTATCTCACCAGAACAGTCAACCTTATTCCTATCTATAAATTTAAGGAGAGGTAACGGATAGTAACGGAGAGATATGATTATCTTTAACCTATTTCTTTGAAGCCTCTTATGGCTCAAACAAGCAAACAATAACTTGGTAAGAGACGGATCGTTTGTTATCACCAATTTCATTTCATATCCCGGTTTCCCAAGGCAGAAGTCCCCCCTCCCCCCGGTTTGTTGTTTCAATTCCCCTTTCACCCCTGATCAGGAGAAATGAGATAAAATTAAATTTCCTTTCTCTGTCATAAATTTATTATTTTTTTGATGCCGTTTCAATAAATGGATCTTCTTGTTGTGTTTATTGTTTTATTTTCTGCCGCGTATTTCTAAAAATATTTTGATTGGAAGTTCCGGAATGTAACGTATAACAATGAGGTCGGATTTCGTATTCGGTTTTCGTATCCCATTGATTATCAATTAATTGAATCATCTTTTGACGTAATCTCGTTAAAACCACACCACACCACACCATATCTCAATACACAACAACCATTTGGTATAAAGTATATTATGGCTTGGGACAAATGAACAAAGATGATAATTTTAATGATTCATCATCCACAACTTTTCTGTGGCGGATGCAAACTTTAACAAACCAAGAAAAAAAGGGTACTTTGGCACGGCTATGAAAAATTAATTATGTCATCCTTGTTGAAAGAGGGCTCTAAAAAAATAAGTTCAAATAATTATGATAAGATAATCCCAAGGGGACGACGACGGCGATGACAAAAATCTAATTAAATCACGTCAATTGACAATTAATAGTTGTCACATTTAGATATCGTGCGGGTAAGTAACCCCCTACCCCCTTCCTATCATGTGTTGTAGACCGAAACAAAAAAGTTTAGTGCCTTATGTTCAGGTGTTAGTCATGAAATGGAATGGCGTCACACGGAGATATACTCCAGAATGTGGGGAGTTCCACACGTAGTTTAAGCCTAATGCGTCATCCTTTATTGATTGAAAGTTTTACCCTCGGAAGTTGAAAAAATAACAATGGCTGCTAAATTTTGTTTACAACCCTAAAATAAACTTTTAAGAAGGGCGGCTAATCAATAAAGTATTACATTGAAAGACTCATTATAATAATGAGCCGTAAATTTTACGCTTATCTTTGTTATTTTTACCCCAACAGCTTAATCTTGCAATTTAAATTTATACACACTTTTTCATATTGAACCTTCCCCCTTTGGTTTTGAAACTTTCCTCCCGGGAAATTTCACAATATAAATATAATCCAATATCCTCCATAACCTCACTTCTTCGAAATGTAAGTTTGTTTCTTATATTCAAGTATTCCATTTCCATCTTCAACTTAATATCTACACCCATACTTCCCTTTTTCCAACTTCTACACTAGACAATTTCCTACGGTTTGCTGGTGCTTTAATACAATAATAATAACATAAACCAAGATGGAAAAAATCAGAGCCATGCTTGCTTCCGAAAAAGAGAAGGAACCCATTGTCGAAGTGGGAGACGCTTCTGACAACCAAGATTATGAAGCCGATCAAAAATTAATGGTAGCAATGTCTGCCAAATCCGCCGAATTCGACCCAGTCACATCTAATCTCATGAAAGAAGTCATGGATGACGAATATACTCAATTCAAAGTCGAAGATGACTCCCCATATCCAGAAGTCCGTGCCGCTGTTCCAAGTACTGATGATGTCACTCTTCCTCAAAACACCATTAGAATGTGGGTTCTTGGTATGATTTTGACTACTTTAGGTAATGGGATGAATATTTTATTTAGTTTCCATTCTCCTTCTTTTGCATTAACTACATTTGTTACTTCCATTTTAGCTTATCCTATGGGTAAACTTTGGTATTGGGTTATGCCAAATATTAAAATCTTTGGTGTTCCATTAAATCCTGGTCCTTTCAATGTTAAAGAACATGCTTTGATTACTATTATGGCTAATGTTTCCTTTGGTGGTGGTGCTGCATATGCTACCGATATCTTATTAGCCCAAAACCGATTCTACAATATTGATTTCGGTTGGGGTTTCGCATTATTATTGATTTGGTCAACTCAATGTATTGGGTTTGCCTTTGGTGGTATTATGAGAAGAATTGTCGTTGAACCAGCTGCTGCTATTTGGCCTTCAAATCTTGTTTCCGCTGTGTTTTTAACTAATCTTCATGTGAATGAAAATCATCCTGCTAATGGTTGGAAGATTTCTAGATTGGCATTCTTTGGGATTATTGGTCTTGGTAGTTTTCTCTACTATTGGTTCCCTGGTTTCCTTTTCCAAGCTTTATCTTATTTCTCATGGGTCACTTGGATTAAACCAGATAATGTCATTATTAATCAAGTCTTTGGTTCTTCTTCTGGGTTAGGTATGTTCCCAAATAGTATTGCCTTAGATTGGAATCAAATCGCCGGTTATATTGGTTCCCCGTTAATTCCACCAGCAGGTACAATTGCTACTATTTTTGCATCCATTGTTGTCATTTTCTGGATTGCTGTTCCAGCTATTCATTATTCAAACACTTGGTTTGCTCAATACTTGCCAATCTCATCTTCTGGTTCTTTTGATAGATTCCAACAACAGTACAACGTCAGTAGGATTATCAACCCAAAAACTTTAGAATTTGATCCCGAAGCATATAGCAAATACTCCCCACTTTTCTTATCCACCACATTTGCAGTTTCTTATGGATTATCATTCGCTTCCATTACCGCTACCGTTATGCACACCATTTTATTCCACGGTAAAGATATCATCAAATACATCAAAAGAGAAGAAAAACCAGATGTTCACGCTAGATTAATGAAAGCTTATAAAGAATGTCCAGACTGGTGGTATGTTGTTGTTTTCTTTGTCACTTTCGGTATGGCTATTGCTGTCTGTAGAGCTTGGCCAACTGATATGCCAATCTGGGCCCTTGTCATCTCCCTTTTGATTGCTATTTCATTCTTACCTGCAATTGCCCTTATTTATGCCTTAACTAACATCATGGTTGGTTTGAATGTTATTTCCGAATTCATTGCTGGGTATATGTTACAAGGTAAATACAATGCTATGTTCTTAGTCAAGACATTCACCTACATCACCAATTATCAAGCTGTTACATTCGTTCAAGATATGAAATTGGGTCACTACATGAAAATTGCTCCAAGACTCTTATTCGCTGCCCAATTTATCGCCACCGTTTGGGGTTCTCTTGTTCAAGTCGCAGTATTGAAATGGGCTTATGGTGCAATTGATGGATTATGTACTCCAACTCAAGCTAATCATTACACTTGTCCAAATGGTAAAGTTTTCTTCAATGCTTCTATTATTTGGGGGGTTATTGGTCCAAAACGTCAATTCTCTCCTGGTCAATTATATGATGGTTTATTATGGTTCTTCTTCATCGGTGCTATCTTACCTGTTATCAGTTGGTTAATCCTCAAGAAATGGCCAAATAGTTTTGTCAAATATTTGAATTGGCCAGTTTTCTTCTCTGGTACTGGTTACATCCCTCCAGCTACTCCATATAACTATACTTCTTATTGCGCTGTTGGATTAGCTTTTGGTTGGTGGATTAAGAGAAAATGGTTCCATTGGTGGACTAAATACAACTATTCCTTATCTGCTGGTATGGATATTGGGTTGGCTTGGTGTTCATTGATCATTTTCTTGTGTATTGGAATGACAAATACCAATGCTCCAAGTTGGTGGGGAAATAATGTTATTAATACCGTTGATTATAATGTTGTTACCAATATTAGAGACTTGTTACCTGAAGGTCAAGCATTTGGTCCAACTTCTTGGTAATGATGATTCCTTTTTAGTTCTGCTTTTACAGTTTGTACTATGTAATGTTTTTATGTAAATATGTATCACGTTCTTTGAATAAAATACTATTTTTGACTTTATGATTGAAAGGATGTTAATGCTTTCTGATGTCAGATTAATTCCATCGACGTAGGAATTATACTTTTTAATAACGATGCGACGATTTATAGGTTTAAGACAGGGAGGAAGTTGAAGCAACGGTAAAAACAGCATTGATTGTTGAAATCACTATTTGCTAGAATGACAACTGGAAGTTCATTGCTTCCATTTCCATTGATAAATCTGTCAGAATATATTCTATTGATACGATGTTATTTAGTTCATAAAGTCTCGTATCTCTCACAAAATCTTCAGTTATGTAATCCAGAGGATACAAACAATTAGCTTATTCTATTCCTTCGATGGAATTCATGCTCTTTTGCGTTTACAATGAAAGGTTGCAATATAACTAAGATGGCTGCCAAATTTTGTTAAGTGTAAGATAATATTGGTATTCACACTACTTTATTTCAAACTCATCTCTCATCATCTCGCTTCTAATAATTTTCTAAATCTGATCAAATATGATTCCCACTTCCACTTAGTAAATACAAGGAGGATAACACTACAAAACTTACGCAATGAGACAAAAGAGAGCTAAAGCATATAAGAAGCAAATGAATGTATATCTCCATGCATTCAAATTCAGAGAACCCTTTCAATTAATAGTAGACAATGAAATGGTCATTAATTGTGATCAAGCATCCTATGATATCATCAAAGGATTCAACAGAACAATCCAAGCAGAATCAAAACCAATGATAACACAATGTTGTATACAAGCATTATATGACACCAAGAATCAACGAGCAATAGATACAGCCAAAACATTTGAAAGAAGAAGATGTAATCATCGAGAAGCAATTGATCCTCATGATTGTATAGAATCAATTGTTAATATTAAGGGGGAGAATAAACATAGATATGTTGTCGCTACACAAAATTTACCATTACGTAAAAAATTAAGAAAAATTCCTGGGATTCCTTTGATTTTTATGAATCGATCAGTAATGGTAATGGAACCAATGTCGGATGCAACTGCAGAGTATTCGAGGAAATATGAAGAAAAGAAATTAACCGGAGGTTTAAATGATGCCAAGAGAGCAGGAGTTATTAATAAGGAGGAAGAAAAACCTAAAGAAGACAAACAAACTGACGGTGGTGAACCACCAAAGAAAAAGAGAAAGGGTCCAAAAGGCCCCAACCCTTTAAGTGTCAAGAAGAAAAAGACTGGTCCAACCGAGCCAGTAAAGGAAGAAACCAAAAAGTCCAATAGAAGAAGAAAACACAAGAAAGCGTCAGCTAATGATGAAGAAGCTCAAGATACTCCATCCACAGATAAGAATGAAGTGCGAGAGAAGGAAGCCTCCCAAGACGTTCAAGAACATTCCGCTGAGCAGAGGACTGAGGCAGATGACACACAATAGGGTACGGTGTAGAATATTTAATAAACTTATATTATAAAATAAATACATAAAAAGGGCAAACTAAGCTTCAGTAGATAATTCATCATTTTGTAACAATTCATATCCATTAAAGATCTTAGGAGCAACTTTTGGAGCTTCCTTAGGTTCAGATCTTGAAGGAGCATCCTTCTTCAAAATATATGAAGTACTTTCATCTATCAAACACAATTTACAATCAAAAGCCAATGATTGTTCTCTCAAAACTTTTCTAAATTGTTTTTGTAAAAGATATAACTTATTCTCTTCATCAATATCAATCAGTTTATAGCTATCCTTCGAATAAAACACAAACGTCGATTCCTTAATCCATTGGAAAACAGGATTCCCAATTTTTGTCTTCTCCACAACTGGCATCAACGCATTCTCAATATCATCCTTCACAACCCCAAAAAACACATCCTCAATAACTAAAGCATTATACAACGCGTCGTCAATATCTTGCTGTTTCAATTCCGTCACCTTGGCCGCCTGGGCCTCTAATTCTTCCTGGACTTCAGCCGCTTCGGCAAGTGTCATCTCCGGAATGATGGTTAATTTCGTTATGAGTATAAACACTGATCTTCTCGGCACTTGATCTTGGGATTCACAATACAATTTAAAAGTCTCCGCTAATTCATGGACGAATTGACGTTGTGGGGCAGACATTGGAGGGAAATGGTAACTTCTTTTTGGTGACGAGATGTCATTTTCTACTTGGAGGTTATAATCCTGAATGAATCCACGAATGGTGGATTCGATTCTTGAACACCAGGTTGCTTGTTTTTTATACGTATTCATGACGCTTTCACTGTATGGAATTGTCGTGTCTTGTGTCTTATCAGTAGTGTTGACGTCAAATGCGGCACGAAGAGCGGCGTCTCGTTTAGCGGCAGCACAGATTTCATTGCATTCCAAAATCGTTCCAATTGCTGTTGGTTCTTGGGTAGTAGCTCCACATTTAACTTTTTTGGTCAATTTACCACATTCGCAAGTAAGCGTAACCTCTTCCGTGCATCTTACAACATCACATACTGGGTTTTTGCCAGGTTTATCAAAATGACATTTTTGTTTACATAAATGAGGACAATTATTTCTCACTTTTCTACAATATGATTGACAACTATTAGTTTCAGCATGTTGATTTTCCTTTGTACATTTTGCCGAACAAGTTCTCATACATGGATGTCCACAACTTTTAAGCACGCGGCACATTCTACCACAAGACACTCTTTCTTGTGAACACAATATCCCCGGGATTTTCGGATTTGTCCCACAATCACATTCTTTCGTCACCAAAGCCGTACACTTCGGACACTCAACCGTCTCATCATGACATTCATGAATCTCAGCCCGATGTCCACACACGGGGATTCTATTACATTGTTCATGACAAACCAACTTCGTTCCACATCTCACCGGAGCTTGGATAATCGTCTTCCCACAATGACATACTAAATCATCATTCGTCGACTCTAAACAAACCTCACAAGGTCCATTATGACACAATGCCTGACATTCATGTTTTCCACATGCTTTCAAACGATTACATGGTCGGGTACATATATGCACAGCTTCCATTGACATAATATCATCCTCAAAATTCGATCTAAGATTATTTCGAATGGCTTTTTTCTTTTCTCGTTCCCTTGTCAATCCAGCTTGTTCATATTCACAACATGGTTCTCGATGATAATGTTTTCGGCAATTGAGGAGAACGGTACATTTATGTTCACATTTTGGTTTTTGTCCCGATTGGATGAATTTACATGGGGCGAGATAGGTTTCATGACCACATTGACATTTTATTTCTTGGATGGTTGTGCATTCGCAATCACCCTTGTGGCATTTATATTGACAATGACATCCACAGGGAAGCAATTTACCACAGATTTGGGAACATTCAGGAACTGGATCTGTACATTTGGTACGATTGGAGGAGTCGACTTTTGTCTTACCGCAATAACATGTTGATATGACCTCGGGGGAGAATTTACATTTGGGTATAGTTGGTGATGGTGGTTGACATTGTAAGATTTCATAATGTTCATTACAATCATAATACAATCTATGAGTCTTATGACACTCTCCACCTCCAATCCATTCCTTTCCATCCACATCCTGACATCGTTTCAAAACCTTCTCGTAACACTTCAATTCCAAAACCTCACCACCACAATAACACCTCATCTCAACCATTTTCTCACACATCCCACAAAAACCCCCATGACATCCTTTTGGACACCCATGGCCAAAATCACACAACCTCGTCACCTCACATTCATTCTCACACCTCCATCCATCCTCATATGGCGTAATCAAACATGGCAATTGTCTAGCCTCCCTTCCACAATCACACTTCATCAAAGGTCCCATCGCCCCACATACAGGATGTTTCCCCGGATGACAGGCATTCATACAAGCATGCACACAATCAGGATATTTATATCCACAACTATCCCCACAACTAAACGGAATTCCTTCCAATGATGAGCCGGACGTGGGATTGGTCACTTTTCCACACCAACAGGTGAATTTCCGGGGTAGGGTTCGCGTGGAAACGTTACAACTTGGACATCTCCATTCTTTATTCCGGGTAGAACTTCCTCTGATGGCCCAGTCTTTTATGCATTCGAGATCATAGACCCGGAAGCAGTGTTGACAGGACCAGATGGTTGAATGGGGGTCGATTTCTCCGGTGCAGACGAGACAGATGTAGGTTCCGTCTTGGATTTCTCGGATGATTGTAGAGCCGAGGGATTCGTCGGGATAGCTGTCGTCGTCATTGTCGTCGTCGAATTCAGATGAGTCTGTTTCTGGTTCGAATTCAGATGAGGAATTGTTATCGAATTCTTGGGGATGGTGTCTCATGGTGGTGGACATATCTGCATTCGAATCCTCATTGAATTGATCTTGAACTCGTGGTTGGTGATCTTCANCTTGGGGATGGTGTCTCATGGTGGTGGACATATCTGCATTCGAATCCTCATTGAATTGATCTTGAACTCGTGGTTGGTGATCTTCACTTGGTCTGCTTGTTTGTGATATCAGACCAGGATCATGTTCTTCTTTATTGACTTCCATAATTACTCTTTCATAAGAAAACTATTCAAGAAAAAGAAGGAAAGTTTAATCTGAAAAAAAAAATCTAAGCGCAAAAAGAAGATGAGATATAAAGAGTGACCACCAAAAAAATTGATAATCAACAAAGTTGAGTCATAGGCAAATATGTAAACAAATGAATATTCAACTACATAACTACGAAAGTTCAATAATAAACTAAAAATCATTTCATTAAAACAAAATAATATAGATACACCCCGATATTCATAATTCTAAATAAACAACAAAAAAACAATCTTAATTAATTAAATGATAATAATAATAACAAATGTATAACATAAAAATATAAAATGACGAAAAATACAACAATAAAATGATCAAATGTATGTATGTATAATAATAATAAACTTCAACCTAAACTCTAATACTTCTCCTCTTAAAAAAGTCCATCACCTTCCTAGCAGCACTAGCCTCTTTCGTATTCCCAGCTTTTGAATTACTCGACGAATTACTACTAATCCTCTTTTGATGTACACCACCATTTCCCCCATCCTTGATATTGTCATTAGTTGGTTCGAGGACTTTTCTAACATATGGTTCTGGACTACTATAGAATGACAAAATACTAAACCTATTCCGTTTCTTATGTGACACAGAAACATCTTTATTCTCCTTATTATCCTCACTAGTTCTTCTTGCACTCACGGTATGTCTTCTATTCAAACCAGTTGATTCCTTCTTCAGTGGATGTTGTTTTTGTGATTTCACAATCATAGGTGGTGGGACTGGAACAACTTGTGGAACTCCGATATATTCTTCCACCGGGATAATTTCCTCTTCCATAATAACAACCCCATATTTTCCTTCTCCGTCAACAGCAGTATCCGATGATGAAATATGTGATCCAATTTCAATTTCAATCGGTTTGGAAGTCTCAACTGGTGGACTTGATGCATTCACCATAGTTTCTGGACTATTGATTATATCTTGTCCACTTCCCTTACGACTATGACTATTACTACCATGTTCATCGCCACTTCCATGATGAATAGTGTCAAATTCAGGTTGATGATTGATTAATGGAGTAGTAGAAGTATTCTCAGAATCTTCATGTTTGGTCGTCGTCGTTGTCGTACCTACTAAATCCAAAGTATCGATCTTATCCTCTAAATAAGTCAATACTGAAGATTGTTTGGTCACTTTATCTCCTCCATGATTACTAATACTACTATCTTTATTACTCAAGACTGCCGTGACGTTAATATGTGTAACCAGAGAATTTCTTCTTGATGAAGCTACTGGAGTTTCATATCCCTTAATAATATGGTTTTCCGATTTTGGTGGTGATGTCAGAATATATTGAGTCATTGGACTATTACTTGCAATTGGACTTGGGATTTTTATATAATCAAATGCAGAATTATGAGAATTGGAACTTAAAGTTGAAGACATTGATGATGGATGATATGAAGTGGGTCGAGGTTTTTTGATTGAATGAGGTAATCTTGGTGATTCTCTTGCTTGTGCTTGTTGTTGTGCTTGTGGTGGTGGCAATGAAGGTGGATTTCTCAAATTATTGTTATTCTTTGCCTCTTGCTTAGTTGGACTTTCAACGATTGTAGAGATTGGTGTACCGGTATATGTAGTTGATCTTGGTAATTGAGTAGGTAAATAATGATAACTATCATTGGCATTATCATGAACCATGGCAGCTTTTAATGCAATACTAGCTGAAGAATATGAAGATGTAATTGCACTTGTTGATTTATCATAAATTTGATGTTTTGGTGATGGAGTTTGGAATATGGCTGATGTAGATGATGCAATTGTAGATGATGAAGTAGAATCAATAATGGTTCGATTAGTAGGTGTTTGTGCTACTGCAGTGGCTAAGTATGATGAAGTTGATGGAGATGAATATAAAAGATTAATGCTATTGGCAGAATATGAACGTGCATGAGATGGAGCAGGATGGGCAAGATGAGGATTATGATTATTCATTAATGAAGATGAATTGGTTCTTTCTGGAATCATAGAAAATCTCTTATTGGTATTATGCATTGGAGTAATTGGTTGTTTTGCTTTTACACTTTCTTCATGTAATTTATCCCATTCTGGTTGTCTAATTGATAATAATTTGGCATGAGGACTTAACCAAGCATGAGTTCTAATTTCATCTAAAGTAATTCTTTTTTTAGGATCAGCAATAATTATTTTTCTTAATAAATCACGAGCTAAAGGTGAAACATATTCTGGAAATGTTAATGGAGTTTTACAAATATAATGATATAATCTAATAATATCTGAACCATCTTCATTTTCTGGATCATCATCAAATGGTAAATATCCAGCTAACATGGCATATAATATAACCCCAAGTGACCAAATATCTACTTTTCTCCCTTCATATGGACTTTGAGTTAATACTAATTCTGGTGCAGCATAACATGGAGATCCACAACTTGTTTTCATTAAATCAGATTTTTCTCGATTATAAGAATTAACAAAACCAAAATCACTAATGATTACATTTTGATGTTTATCTAATAATAAATTTTCCAATTTTAAATCACGATGAATTAACCCCTTTGAATGCATATAATCAACTCCACTAACTAATTGTGAAAATAACTTTTTAGCAACATTTTCTTTTAAATATTTATGATGTAAAATATAATCAAATAATTCTCCACCAGATGCATATTCTAATACAATTCCAATATATTTCCCACTTTTCATAACTTCAACTAAATTAACAATATTTGGATGATTTAATAATTTTAATGAATTAATTTCTCGATGGATTTTAATTTCAGATTCTGAATCTTTAATTATTGAAGATCGTTTAATTAATTTAATTGCAACTTGACTTGGATGTTTACCATCTTTTCTCCAACCTAATTTAACTTTACCAAATTCACCTTCTCCTAAAGTAGAACCAAGTATATAATTACCAAATCTGATTTCTCGATGCATTCGTTTACCAGGAGTTTGACTGATATGAGAAGACTGTTGTTGTTGCTGTTGTTGAGAAGATTGTGGGACTACTGTTGGTGGTTGTGGAGTTGGTTGCAGGTGTCTATTCTGTTGTCGTTGTTGTCGTTGTTGGTCTTCTATGTGTTGTTGTTTAATGTCTGCGTATATCTCTGCTGCGGTTCTTGGAGTAGAATTATTAGGGGCTATGTTTCTTGGTTGAGATGTTGATGTTGTTGTTGTTGGGTCGGTTGTTGTTGTTGTTGATTTATCCAATGGTTGGTCAGGTAATAGTTCAGAAACCTGAACCATTACGTTTGTTGATGACATGGTTAGCTAATATGATGAAAATGCTTGAAAAAAGGAAAGGAAAGGGTATATGTAGCTAATTAATGAAAGGAAAATTAATTTTAATGTTTCTCTGTATCAAATTGATATTTTAGTTTTCAATAAAATCTTGTGTGTGTTGTGAATTTTTCTTTCTCGAGATTTTTGTTGTTGGAAGCAAAAAAAAAAAATTAATTAATTAAAATTATTTTTTAACGCAAAAATGTTTTACCTTTTTTTCACAGGAATTTAAAAAATAAAATAATTATTATTTTATTCGCTAAATGAGAATGGATTCTGATATTCTGAATTTTGAATTGGTGAATTGAATAATAAGATTTATAATTTGAAACGTATAATAAAGGAAGAAATAAAAAGCCAGTTCTCCTTTTATTTGTTTAAATTAAAATTTTGGTGGGGGTGGATAATGTATTATGTTTTTATATTCTTTTGGATGGTGGGGTGATATTTGGACTGATGGTATATTAGCTTAGTATGTAGATCTAGCGTCTTAAGTTAAAAATTTAATAATGAAACAAAAATCGTTTTTGTTTTCTTTATATACAAATCAGGAACAAACAACCAAAAAAAAAAATAATGACGTCTTTTTTTTTCTTCTGCTTCTGTCTTTAATGGGTTGTCAATTAAGTATGTTGCAAATTAAATGACAAAGAAAAATTTGTACGTTTAATTATAATGATGATGCTGATGATGCTGATGATGATGGGTAGTGTATGTATCTTTCTAATATGTTGCAATGCTTAAGGCGTTGTAGTTAAAAATAGATGAGCCGTTTTCAATTGTTTTTCTTTCTTGGTAAAAATTCAAGTAGAACGTTAAAGAAAGGTAGGAAGGTTTTATTGTTTTGCAACAGTTGAAAGTGTAGCTTAAAGTTTAATACTTTTGTAATGGCTAATTGGAATTTCAATTGAAATTGTGAGTTTCGTCGTGTATTGTTTTTTTACAACAACAACAGGATATGTTTAACTTTTCGTATTAAAAATAGAAAGTTTAAAATGATTATTCGATTGAATTGATTGGGTTTGTAGTTGTAACTGTTAGTAGTGGTTGGTAGTGTTGACATACAAACGTGTTTCACTTCTATCGTATCTCTAACTATCTTTCTGTTAATGAGGCTAATAATCTTTTAAGGAAGTTGTAAAGAAGAAAGAAGAAGAAAGCAAGAGAAGAAAAAAAAAAACAAGAGAAGAAAGAAACAGAAGAAAGTTAAACTTTGCAACAACAAATTTTTATTAAGAAGAAAGAACAGCAAAAATTATTTTTTGGTTGTAAAGAAATGATTCATTAATTTTAAAAATCTAAAAATCGTTTAATTAAAAAATAATATTGTTTACATTTTGGTAAATGGACGACTTTTGTTTTTACTCGATTTCCCAAATTAGATCGTCTCTTTCTCTAGTAAATTTGTACATACTCTTCCATTCTGTACACTACAGAGTCAATTTGATTGACACTTGTTACCAACTTACTTGGCTAACATTTACCAACGTTACATAACCATCACATAATAGTAACATATCTACATTATGCGTTGTCCATTACAATTATAATTCAACTTTACGACGTGGCGTTCTTTTTTTTTTTAATCTTATTTTTTTTTACAGTTGTCCCCCGCCCTTTTAGATAAGTGGAAAATTCAAATATCAAAAAGGAACGAAATTTATTGATAATTTTATTTTAGTATTTATGGGGCGTAAATGCAACATATCTTTTCTTCTTCTTAACTCTTTGCTTGTTTGCAGCCGTTACTTATTCTAGGGCGGCGGTAGAAATGATGTAGATACGTTTCATTTCGATTTGTTACAAGGTAACATTTCCAGCCGGTAGTACTGATCAAACTACTACTGGACTCTGTAAAAAAATTCCCGTTGTAGAGGAATGAAAGAGACAAGATTTAGTCATTCAATTTATTTACTCTGATTATTTTTGAGATCTGAAACAATACACAACGCCCCTTACATGATCTCTGTTCATTCGATTGACATATGCCTCAAAAAAACAATTAACTCATTCTCTCTCCTATACATCTAGTCACTTCTTTATAAATCATCCCCCTTTCATTGGTAGGAGATAAAAATAAACTAAAATTTCAAATTATTCAAACCTCACCCTTATTAATATTAAAAGAAACTAAATGCACCATAATTTTAAATAAAAAAATCTTCCAGTCATGTCAATCTTTACTTCACAACACCCCTCAAAAAGAAAAGCAATGACTTTTTTTTTCTTTGCTCATCTCTTCAGTCTTGTTAAAACTTACTCACTTCAAGGGATGGATGGATAGATGGGATCATGCGAAAGATTGACAGGGATTGGAATTCTTCAGTTAAAGACCGTCATTTTCCATTGTTTGACAAAACGAAAGTCGTTGTCAAGACAGTTGTTTCTCCAGATCTCTGAATGACCACCGAAAAAAAAAAACGACAAGATCCATCGGGAAATCTGGAATGCAAGCCAAAAAAAAAATCTGGGGTAAAAATTAGATAGTCGTGTATTGATGGTTAATTTTCTATCAAATACAAAAAATATTCAAATCTGGGGATGTGTATGAATATGTGTCATTTACTATCAAATTCATCTAAACTCATAATACGGAAATATGTAGAATAAAGTATATTATTTTAAAAAGTGTCATCGTCTTTCTAATTACGACTAATATTCTCTTAGACGAACCATAAATGACCACTATGCACATATATGTGCTACTTTGGAATTCTTTCATCAATTAAGCCTTCCATCAGAGCAATCTTCTCTATTACGCTGGTCTTCGTACCCAATCCCCCTTCTCACGCATCCTTTGTTATAAGAAACGAAGAAACAAAGTGACTCTCCTGGCTTGCTATTTCTCGTATGTCAATCACTCACTTCAGAAAAGAAAAAGAATGAAGAACAACATACGAAAAAAAGGAGAAAAATATTTTTTTTTTGCAGCCAATTTTCGACAGACGTGGCATTTAAACCGTCTAATTAAATCTTAAAAAAAAAAACGTTTGTTGTCAGGTCCTAAATGCAGAATTTTTCTTCGTATATGTACATATTACTTGTTTTTTGTTTCAAATGATTCATACATTAAGTCGCCTTATAGAAAAAGTATCCATTCTAGCCCCATATTCCCCGGGGCTTATTCCTTTTTAACACGACGTGGCCATTTCTAATAATGTACAGCAAATCTCGTGGTGGCTGGCCCAGAGGACCTCGATTATGACATTTACTTTCCTTGATCGAGACAATTTATCGGATTTGTCAGCATATCTAGTTGATGAAACGTTCAACATGTATTCCGAAGAAAGTTTTACGAAAATTTATAAAACCCTAAAATATCAAGGCTGAGTATCTATCGTAAAAGTATGTAAGTATTCCAATCTCATAGATGGTGTATATGATGACTAATTCACACTTCCATACTTCTAGAAAGGGCTTCATTGTCTGATAGAATCTTCCCTCGGCTTTTGTCGTAGGCTTTAATGATCTGTCGTGGTTATCACCGAGCTTCAACCTATTTTTTTTATTGACAAATTGTTCAGCACACGTACTTTTTTGATTCAACAGAACGAAAAAAAAAGTTGATCCCAAGCTACCCTCACGCGTCTTTTCTGTAAATTATGTATTATTTTTATAAATTTTCTTTACAACACCCACATCAATCATAATCACCCATCAACACAATGACACAAGCAGAATACGATTCCCAACGACAACCAACTCCATCCGAAGAACACCCCGACCAAATCCCCATCGACGAAGATGACGATGACGAACTCAGTGGCCCCCTTCTAATCGACCGACTCGAAGGCAATGGAATCACCAGCTCCGACATCAAAAAACTCCAAGCAGAAGGATTCCACACAGTCGAAAGTATAGCATATACCCCCAAGAGACTCCTTACCAACGTCAAAGGGATCAGTGAAGCCAAAGCTGAAAAAATCTCCCAAGAGGCGGCAAAATTAGTTCCGATGGGGTTTACTACTGCTAGTGAATTTCATTCGCGTCGATCGGAATTGATTTGTTTAACTACTGGTTCAAAACAATTAGATACTTTATTAGGAGGAGGGATTGAGACTGGGGGGATAACGGAAGTATTTGGCGAGTTTAGGACTGGGAAATCTCAATTATGTCATACTTTGTCAGTTACTTGTCAATTACCGATTGATATGGGAGGGGGAGAAGGGAAATGTTTATATATTGATACAGAAGGGACATTTAGACCTAATCGATTAGTATCGATTGCTGAACGATATGGATTGAATCCGAATGATTGTTTGGATAATGTTGCATATGCGAGGGCATATAATGCCGAACATCAATTACAATTATTAAATCTTGCTGCTAAAATGATGTCGGAATCACGGTTTTCGTTATTAATAGTGGATAGTATTATGTCGTTATATAGGACTGATTATGCTGGAAGGGGGGAATTAAGTGCAAGACAAACTCATGTTGCCAAGTTTATGAGAACTTTACAAAGATTGGCTGATGAATTTGGGATTGCTGTTGTTATTACCAATCAAGTTGTTGCTCAAGTGGATGGAATGGCGGGAATGTATAATCCTGATCCTAAGAAACCTATTGGTGGGAATATTATTGCTCATTCTTCAACTACTAGATTGTCATTTAAGAAGGGGAGAGCTGAAACTAGAATATGTAAGATTTATGATAGTCCTTGTTTGCCGGAAAGTGAATGTGTGTTTGCTATTTATGAAGATGGGATTGGAGATCCAAGAGTTGAAGATGATGATAAGTAGTTGGGTCTTTTGCAAGTTTGTTTTATTTGTATAGTTTCGTAGTATATATCCGTTTTTTCTGTAGTCTGTAGTTGAAAAAGAATTCACATATATTTCGCCTTGAATCGTTCATCAGAAGCCCGCAGCACAAGAGAATAAGACATGACTAATTAAAACAATGACTCTGAAAAATTAAAAAAATTATGAATAACCGTTTTTAAGAAATAAAACGGATAATACCAAGAAAAAAAACGACAAGCTTTCATTGTTTTAATGAAAAATTACCTCGGGATCCATCGCCCTACGGGTTAGGATGATTTGGTAACTTTAAGAGTATCACAAGCTCAATCGAACCATCCTTTTAAGACTGATGCAACGGCGTTGCTTATAAGGATGACTCTAAACAATAACACATGTATGAGTTGGTAACCATGCATATACTTAAACATAATGAGTATAGACATTAAAGAGTGGCTTGAAATTGTGTAATTGAAAATTTCTTCTTGTGTAATGTTTCTAATTGTATAAGTTTTAAGTAATTTACATTGTACAAAAATAATAAATTAAAAAGAAATGCCTTGTTGGGAAGACTAAAAAATTTTTTCATATTTTTATCTAAACGATCAATTTCTGAAGAGAGAAATGTGTACTGAGGTTAAAAAAAAAACAATTAACGGTCACCCGGATTATTACGGAAAGTCTTTGCTTAACACCGAGCAACACACTTCAATGATTATTAATACATTGATTGTCACTGAGTTTTCTTCAAGAAAGTATTGACTATTAAATGAAGTTAACTTATGAATATGTTACTTCTGTTGTATTAGAGAATGTAAGGAAGTAGACGAAGGAAGAAAATTTTTCTTCCTTTTCGTTCAATGGTTCTAATTTATTACACAAAATCTCCAAAGGGAAAGAAAAATTTTTATCTTTTTCATCAGTAAATATAAACTAATAAGTTCAAAAGTACACGACTAACAAATTATCTATAATGAATAACTTTTCATTAATAAACTTTTTAAAACTAAAAATTTCATCAATGTGATTCTCTGATGAAATTTTTTTCTTTCTTTCTTTCTTTCTTTTGTTTTCTTTCTCTTCTCTTCTTCCTCTTTCTTCCTTCAATTAAGTTAATCTTCTTATTCCATAGATCAATTACATTTACTTTAGAAAAAGTTATTACCAGGTTAAATCCTTCATTTTCCCATACAACCCAAAACTACAAGACTCACGTGACTAATTGTGTTGTAAAAAAAAAAAATTTGTGTGTCCTAAACCCAGAAAATTAATAATCTCCCTCCTTTCCCCTTAAGTTAACAACCCATCCTCCCTGTGTTACATTTTCTAAAAGATCCCCTTTTACTTAGTAACAATCAAACACCCCCATCGAATACAATCAGATACAACTTAACAGGGGGCTTTTATTTATCAATCCATTAACACCCCTAAAAGTACTTCAACACCAATTTAGATTTGTATTTATTATTTTAATTAGCCAAAACAATAAACAACAATGAAATATTCAGCAGAGAAAACAAAGGTTAAATCAATACTACCAAAGCCATCACCCATATCATCACTGTCTAGCCCTCCACCTCCATTAATACCACCAAAGCCAACAAAGAGAAGAGCAACTGATTCTTCCATTGATGTGAAATCTCGAAAGAAATCAAATTCATCAACCCCCAATTCAAGAAATCAATCACCAGCTATTGCTATCCCCACATTAATCAATAATCAATCAACAGCACCTCCCATTTTAAAATCTGAATCTGAATCTTCAGGTATGATGGATATATCTATGGGCAACACTACTCCTACTAAAACATCATCATCATCATCCAAACTGTCGAAACAAACTGGTCACAGACCAGTGACATCATGTACATTCTGTCGTCAACATAAAATAAGATGTAATGCCTCCGAGAAATATCCAATGCCTTGTCAACGTTGTGATAAAATGGGTTTGAAATGTGAAATTGATCCTCAATTTAGACCTAAAAAAGGTTCACAAATTCAATCATTAAAACTGGATGTTGATGAATTAAAAGCAAAAATTGAAATGTTAACTAAAAATGAATCATTATTAACTCAAGCTTTAAATCAACATAATTTGAATTTCTTACACCATCAACAACAAGATCCTACTTCTAGAACAAATTCAATTCATTCATATGCTGGTAGTCCAATGACTAATGATGGTGGTGTGTCTCCTGTAAATAATTTCTATGTGGCTCCTGTACCTTCAATCACCAGTATTAATGTTCCAACTCATTTAGCACCAACTGAAAATTCCGATAATTCACCTTCAACAACCATGAATACTCCAATGGATCATCAACAAAAATTACCAGAAATTGAATATAAACCAATTCTGGAATTCATTTTAGGCGATGTTACATTACCACTTTCAAAAGCAAATGAATTACATGATAAATTTATGAGAAAATATTTACCATTATTACCAATTATTGTATCTAGATCAGCTACTGAATTATATCATAAATCTCAATTACTCTTTTGGGCCGTGATATTAACTGCAAGTTTAGGAGAACCAGAACCAACTCTTTATATGTCCCTTGCATCATTAATTAAACAATTAGCAATTGAAACCTGTTGGATCAGAACCCCGAGATCAACTCATGTCATTCAAGCACTAATAATCCTTTCGATTTGGCCATTACCCAATGTCAAAGTCTTGGATGATTGTTCATATCGATTCGTCGGATTAGCCAAGAACTTATCCTTACAATTAGGACTTCATCGTGGTGGAGAATTCATTCAAGAATTTAGTAGGAATCAAGTGAGTTTAGGTCCAGATGCAGAAAGATGGAGAACTAGATCTTGGTTAGCCGTATTCTTTTGTGAACAATTTTGGTCTTCATTATTAGGATTACCTCCTTCGATTAATAGTACTGATTATTTATTGGAAAATGCAAGAGTTGATAAATCATTACCTAAAGATTTTAGATGTTTGATTTCCCTTTCGATATTCCAATGTAAATTGGTGAATGTTATGGGTATTAGTGTGACTAGACCCGATGGTTTGTTGGAACCCCTGAATAGAGCTGGATCTTTGAGTTTATTAGATCGTGAATTGGAAAGATTGAGGTTTAAATTACAATTTGCCGAGGGGTCAGCTATTGAAGTATATTATTTATATATCAAGCTTATGATTTGTTGTTTTGCATTTTTACCAGGTACTCCTATTGAAGATCAAGTTAAATATGTAAGTTCTGCATATTTAGCAGCCACCAGAATTATTACTATTGTTTCACAATTGGTTAGTAATGATTTTGCATTGATTGAATTACCAATATATGTTAGACAAGCTATGACTTATAGTGTATTTTTATTGTTCAAATTACATTTACTGAGATATTTGATTGATAAATATGTTGATTCTGCCAGACAACTGATTGTTACTGTACATAGATTATTAAGAAATACTTTAAGTTCTTGGAAAGATTTAGAAAATGATATATCAAGAACTGCTAAAGTATTAGAAAATTTGAATATTGTGTTATATACTTATCCAGATATATTTTTGAATGATACTGAAAATGATGATGCTAGTATTATAACAAGGATGAGATCTCATTTAACTGCTTCATTATTTTATGATTTAGTTTGGTGTGTTCATGAAGCTAGAAGAAGAACATTATTAGATAAAAATAATCCATCAAAACTGAAACCAGAACCAACAGAAAGGAAATTATTACCATTACCATTCTATAATCAAATCACCAAAGACGATTTTAAAACAATAACAAAGACATCACCAAACGGTACAACCATAACCACATTAGTCCCCACCGATCAAGCCATGAATCAAGCCAGGCTGACAGCAGCAGAATTGAATAAGCCATTAGAAATTAATGGTATTCCATTAACAATGCTAGAAGCAACTGGTTCAATGAGAGATGCAGCATTTGTTCAACCAGAATTTGCCGAACACAGCCCAGCTCCACAACAATTACCCCAACAACATCCTCAACAACAACATCCACTCCCAGCAATGCAACCCCAACAACAACAACAACAACTCCCATTACCATCACAACAACACCACCAAGTCCCAATGAATCAAGCAATGACGCCACGCATGAATCAAGGATATTTACCCACTATTGACGAATTCCAACAACCTATGTTTATGAGTCCCGGTACCCAACAACAACAACAACAACAGGCGCAGGCACATGATCCATTTGGGGGTGCTGCTACTCCTGCGAATGGAGCTGGTGGGTTTGTATCGCAGATTGATACGTTTTTCCAACAGCAGAGTCATGGGTGGATGAATAATGATAATTATCAGGATGAGGATTTTTTGGGATGGTTTGATGTGAATATGTTGCCTGAACAATAGAGAACGAAAGAACGAAAGAAAAAGGATGATGATGATGATGACGGGTTTTTATTTATGTTTTATTTTGTATTTTTATTATGTCTTATATTATTTATATAAAATTATTTATGTGTTTAGAGATTTTTTGTTTAATGTTATTAAATTATTTAATGTTTATTTGATTCCTTGATGTGGTTGTTTCTGTGGTTGTTTCTGTAAGTTTTCGAGAGTATTAATAGTGTGATTGTGGCTCTTGTTGCAGCTAGCACCACTCCAGAGGTTGAAATAATCACCATCCAACATATTGAAGGCGATGGCTGATTCCTAGAGGGTTTTTAGACATGGATATCGTAAATGGTTGCAAAATGAGCGGATTAATGATTTTTCAATGAACGGAAATGTATTTCCTGAATCACGTGAAATCTAGTAATTTTTCAGGGTTACAAAGCAATTCCCCTTCTCCCTTTCTAGAATTTTTCACAATCTCCATTAGTTGCTATTGCCCCTTCTTCACTCATCTCAACCAATTGACTTATCATACAATGTTCACTAGACAATTATTCCGCTCAATTCCACTCAGAGCCACTCCTGTCATCAGACCACAATTTGCAAGATTCATTTCTTTCGCCCAAGCTGATCAACCAAGAATTAGAATTGGATCCACGGCACCAAATTTCCAAGTTGACACTACCAAAGGTAAGATTGATTTCCATGAATTCATTGGTAATGATTGGGTAATTCTTTTCAGTCACCCAGCTGATTTCACTCCAATTTGTACTACTGAATTAGGTGCATTTTCAAGATTAAAAGGTGAATTTGATAAAAGAGGTGTTAAGTTAATTGGATTATCTACTGAAGGTGTTGATAGTCATAATGCTTGGGTTAAGGATATTGAAGAAGTTGAAACTCAAGGTAAGGAATTTGCATTCCCAATTATTGCTGATTTAAATAAAGAAGTTGCATTTAAATATGATATGGTTACTGAAGAAGATTTCAAGAATTTAAAATCAGGAATGGTTGCTACTGTTAGATCAGTATTTATTATTGATCCAAAGAAGACTATTAGATTGACTTTAACTTATCCTGCAAGTACTGGTAGATCAACTACTGAAATCTTGAGAGTTGTTGATGCTTTACAAACTTCTGACAAACATGGTGTTGCTACTCCTGTTGATTGGACTCCTGGTCAAGAAGTTGTTATTCCACCAAGTGTTTCTGATGCTGATGCTAAGGCTAAGTTTGGTGAATTCAGAACTGTTAAGCCATACTTAAGATACACTAAGGTCTAATTTGTATAAAAATTTTCTCTATTTACATGTATACGTATGTACCAAATTGTATTTTAATGAACTGATGCGTTTGTCAATGTAGCAACAATTGCGGAATCTGATTCGTCCTTCCCTCTCAAAACCAATTCCTTTCCTTCTTCGTCCACAAACACCGGTTGTTTGTCTTTGTTGGTCTTCAATCTTGGTTGAATATATTCCCATACCGCAGTCTTCAACACTGGTGGTTGGAAATCATGATCCTCAGAACCAAAAAATAATCGTTCACCAATTATGGAACTCTTTGGAGGCTCCACTACTTCTACTTGTGTCTGACCTTCTGATTGTGAAGTAGCTGCTAATATCATCCCCTTTGATGCTTCTCCACGTAATTTCTTCTGTTTCATATTTGTAACAACCACAACTCGTTTGTTTTGCATTTGTTCAATTGGGATATAAGGAACTAATCCTGAACATATTTGATAAGTATTGCTATCATCGATTTGGATCTGGGAGACATATAAATTGTCGCTACCTTCATGACGTTTACATGATTGGATTTGTCCAACTTGAAGTTTGAGATATGCTGGAGAGACTTGATGATTTGGTTGGTTAGTATAGTTGAAATCAATTGGGATTTGCTGGTTCTACTTACACTTTTTAGTGACTGCTTCAGAGTATGCTCTTCTTCCTATGATGCTTCTAATCATTTGTGCTACTGGGATGGCTATAACTTGGGCAACAGTGTCAACGAGAGGAACGAAGAAATTTTAATTCGCACTGAGCAGAGGAATAATTCTGTGGAGTGCTACACAATACACTGATCATAAGTCTATGACGTACAATTATCGAACCGATCTGTAGAATCGACTACTCATAAAGGTGTTCCTTTACATAATGTAGTTGTGAATTTCTCTTAGAAGGTTAAAGATTAAATCCATAAATGTTTGTAGTATTAGGCATCGCCTGTACCAGGTGGCACTACAATGGAGCTTGCCTTTGGGAATTTAAAAGAACTACCCGAAAGCTTTAGCATTCCAATCAAGAAGAATTAGATCATTGCTATCCAATAAGACTTGTTGGCTGTTGATGTTATAAGACTTTTCTTGATCTCCTTGAACTGAGTTAAGACGATCGCGAACACTAGTGTCGGGTCCATTCATCATCCTGAAAACCACGAAATATTCTAAGCAGCTGATCCAATGTGTGATTCCCGAATTGTTGATGGGCAAACGATGAAGAGACTCTTAACTTTACTTCGTAGTCATCACCGTCATAAACCAATAAATGGATGTTATATAAATTAAATCACGTGATATAATTTAATTTATCCCAATTAGGAAATCTAATTAAAATGACACCCAAAAAAAAATCTCTCGAGGAAAAACGCGTTTCTTCAAAAAACCTTTTCAATGAAAATAAAAAAAAATTATAATTCTTACTTTTTCACTTGTTTCTTTCCTTTCTACTCTCTTTCCAAGTAAGTTAATATAGAAACAAAGGTAATCAATTCCCCCAACTATGTCCAACTTTGTTTCATCTCCGGGTAGAATCCCATCAGATGCTGCCCAGTTACTTCATTCATCACAAGCATCTTCAACTTATGGAAGAGATATTTCAACCCCTCAACCAAATTCCCAAATTTTTTATTCAGAGTCACAATATTCCAATGCTGGTAATGCAACTCCACAACCACCCCAAATTCAACGTAATGGAGCCGCAGTCGTTCCTGGTAGAAGAAGACAAATTGCTGTTCCTAAAGTAGTTGATGTCACTGGTGAAAAAGTTAGAGAAAGTTTTGAATCATTTATTGAAGAATTTATTGATCCCAATGACGAAAATAATCAAGGGGATAATGATGATTGGGATGGGAAGATATATCTTGCCCAGATCGAAGCAATGAAGACTTATGAATATAGTACTTTATATATCAATTATCAACATTTATTAATGAGAGAAAATGGTGTATTGGCAACAGCTATTCTGGAACAATTTTATCGATTTTATCCATTTTTATTAAAAGGTTTAAGAAGACTTTTAAGAAAATATGCTCCAACTTTATTATATACAAATTTAATTGGACAAACTCAAAATGATGAACAACAACAAGATTCTAATTCATATAGTGGTGATAGAAGTTCAACTACTAATTCAACTCAAGCTAATGAACGTGTTTTTCAAATTGCTTTTTTCAATTTACCTTCAGTTCAAAGAATTAGAGATATTAGAACCAATAAAATTGGTTCCTTAATTTCAATTCTGGGTACCGTTACTAGAACATCTGAAGTCAGACCAGAATTATATAAAGCTTGTTTTACTTGTGATTTATGTTCAGCCGTAATTGAAGGTATTGAACAAGTTTTCAAATATACTGAACCTACTTCCTGTCCATCATGTGAAAATCAAAGTTATTTCACCTTAAACATTTCAAAATCCCAATTTATCGATTGGCAAAGAGTTAGAATCCAAGAAAATGCCAATGAAATCCCATCAGGATCAATGCCACGTACTTTAGATGTCATATTAAGAGGTGAGACTGTTGAAAGAGCAAAACCAGGAGATAAATGTAAATTCACCGGTTGTGAAATCGTCATCCCCGATGTCTCACAATTGGGATTACCTGGTGTCAAACCTCAATCTGTTCGTGAAAATAGAGGTGGTTCAGGTGAATTAAGTTCTGGTGTCTCGGGGTTGAAATCTTTAGGGGTTAGGGATTTGACTTATAAATTAGCATTCCATGCTTTTCATGTCACCTCTTTGATTAATAAAGCCGGAGGTACTATTGATCAATATAATACTGAGAATGATATTATGGGTGATCATGATCAAGAACTCTTTTTGAGTTCTTTGACTAGAGAAGAAGTCGAGAAATTGAAACTCATGGTTAAAGACGAACACGTCTATGATAAATTAGTCCAATCTGTCGCTCCTGCAGTCTTTGGTCATGAAGTGGTTAAAAAAGGGATCTTATTACAATTATTAGGTGGTGTACACAAGAAAACTGTCGATGGGATTAATTTAAGAGGTGATATTAATGTTTGTATAGTTGGTGATCCGTCGACTTCAAAATCCCAATTCTTGAAATATGTCTGTGGATTCTCCCCCCGGGCAGTTTATACCTCCGGTAAAGCCTCTTCTGCCGCTGGTTTAACCGCCGCAGTTGTTAGAGATGAAGAAAGTGGTGAATTCACAATTGAAGCCGGGGCATTAATGTTGGCTGATAATGGGATTTGTGCCATTGATGAATTTGATAAAATGGATATCGTTGATCAAGTTGCAATTCATGAAGCTATGGAACAACAAACTATCTCAATTGCAAAAGCCGGTATTCAAGCCACTTTAAATGCCAGAACTTCGATTTTGGCAGCTGCTAATCCAATTGGAGGTAGATATAATCGAAAATTAGGATTAAGGGCCAATTTAAACATGACTGCACCAATTATGTCTCGTTTTGATTTATTTTTCGTTATTTTGGATGATTGTAATGAAAGAGTTGATACTCAATTAGCGTCTCATATTGTTGATTTACATATGCTTAGAGATGAATCTATAAATCCACCCTATTCAGCGGAAGAATTAGCACGTTATATCAAATATGCTAAGACTTTTAAACCTAGAATGACTAAAGAAGCTCGTGATTTCTTGGTTAGTAGATATAGAGAATTAAGAGAAGAGGATGCTCAAGGATTAGGGAGATCTTCATATAGAATCACAGTTAGACAATTGGAGTCGATGGTTAGATTATCAGAAGCTATTGCAAGAGCTAATTGTACTGAAGAAATCACTCCTAGTTTTGTGGCTGAAGCTTATGATTTATTAAAGAGATCCATTATTAGAGTCGAAATGGATGATGTTGAAGTTGACGATGAAGAAGATGAACAAGCAAACGCTACCACCACTGGTGATAATAATGTTGATGAAGATGATACTGCTGAACATCCACAACAACAACAACCAGAAGCATCCAGTTCAAGACCTCATGCGTCTATCACATATGATAAATACGTCTCAATGATGAATTTAATGGTCAAGAGAATCTCCGATGACGAAAACACTGGAGGCGAAGGATTAACTGCAGATGATTTGATTGAATGGTATTTAGTTCAAAGGGAAAATGAAATCTCGACCGAACAACAATATTTACAAGAAAGAAACTTGGCATACAAGGTCTTGAAGAGATTGGTTAAGGATAGAATATTGATGAGTGTAACTCATGAAGCACAATCTGAAAATGAACAACCTACTACTGTTTATATCCTTCATCCAAATTGTGCTATTTTGGATTTCTTCCAACAATCAGGTGCTCAAGACACTGATACCACTATGCAAGAGGATTAAATGGTGCCCTGATTAGTATTCCTTTCTGTTCGTTTATATTTTGTATTATTATAATTTTGGTTTTCTTTACTTAGTTGGTTTATGTTTTTAATTAAATACACAAATTCTATAAAACTATATTCCAGTATTAACTCTAGTTTGATTGATCACTAGCGTTATGTTCTTCCTCTACATCTCCTGAAGCAGCCGCCGCTTGTGCAATAATCAAAGCAGCAGTCGCCTTCTCTTCATTGCTATATCTCCCAACATCCTCTTCCCCACCTTTCTCTCCATTCCCACTCTTCTTCCATTCAGCAGGCGTCAAACTCTGAGCACAATCCACACAATGATCAACAAAAATCCTCAGATTCGGAAACATCCTCTGACAAGCCCTGCACCACCCCGGATCATCCTTCGACGTCTCTCCATTCACACGACTCACACTCCCTCCTCCGGGCATGATTTGATGTTTATCTTTCACATAATGCACCAATCTCAAATGTCGTTTAAGCACATCCAATCGATTAAATGCCCCTCCATTTCGATGACAAGTGGGGTCATTACGGAAATACGGACATTGAAAAGCTGGAGCGACATGGGATCGGGCATGTCTTCGAAGATCAGATTGACGGGCGAAGGACCAATTACAGCCTTCGAAGGTGCATGCGTGAGGTCTGGGGTTTGTTGGTTTTGGTTTTGGAGTTTTACTGTTGAATTTTTTCACTTTGAATTGGTCGGCGGTTTTGGATGCGGTGGTGGTGGTGGATGTGCGGGGTCTGCCTACTTTGAAGAAAAAGTTTGATGAGTCTTGAGATGTGGGTGGTTGTGGTTGGTCTTGTGGTTGTTGTTGTTGTTTTGATTCTGCGTGTTGTTGGAGATGTACTGAGTAGTCGGATTGAAAATTTACATATGGATTGAAATTATCACGGTCTGAGGATGAAGGTGGTGGAGAATCCTTGGGAGCTGAGGTGGTTGGTTTTCTTTCATTACCCTGGATATCTGGTGAATGCTGACCTTGCTCTTGGGAATTGGTTGATGAAGATGGTTCTTCTCGTAAAAGAGCTGAAATAACTTCTTTTTTGATACCTTCAGATGAAGTCTCATGGTCACTTAAATCTCCTTTTGAGTCTTTTCTTAGTTTCATTATATCGTCTCTATGTTTGATGTCCCTTGATTGGTACCTTTAATTTGCAGTAATTGAAAATATTGGGAGCCTGTTATTATTGAGCCGCTTGTTGTGAGGTTTAAATTTTTTTGGAAGTTTTTTTCGAACGAAAGCAAAGAGAGGAAAGTTGGTGGCGCTGAAAAAAAATGGGAAATGTCGTATGCCTCCTTTGACAACGACATACGACATTATATTTTTGCAACCCTTTCAATCGACCCATCTTGGTTGAAGAAAGGAATGGCCCTGGCCATCATCAACCACATTCACTTTGGGTTATATCTAAGACGAGTCATATCTATATGACTAATGAATAAATAAGACTTGGCTTATCTGATTTGTCAATCATTGTGTAATTCTTTTACATTAGTAACTCACCATTGATCTTCTAATTACTAAATATTTGGTAATATTTGATGTTCCTGTATATAAAAAAACAATACCCCAAACCTTTCCTCATGGAAGAATATATAAAGATGATCAATTGCTATCATTCAAAATAATTTCAATTGACTTTTGATTCTTTTCTTCAATTGCTTTCTATTTGATTATTTCATAAATCTATATTCAATTAACTTAAAATTAAATTAAACAATGTCTAGCGTATGTATCAGCCGTCCCTTTAGTTAACCTTAGAGTAGTATAAATTAGTATGTAGCAATACTAACAATTGTAGGATAAAAAACCACTTGAAATTTTAAAATTTGCTGATGATAAAGATGGTGCTTTCAAAAGAAAACCATCCGTGTTCAGAGATTTTATAAGTTCCAAACCCGGTTCAAAATTCCCAGCAGAAGCAGGTAGATATCATTTATATGTTTCATTTGCATGTCCATGGGCTCATCGTACTTTGATCACCCGTTTTCTTAAAGGATTAACTTCAATTATTAGTGTTTCTGTTGTAAGTTGGCATATGGATAATTTAGGNAGGATTAACTTCAATTATTAGTGTTTCTGTTGTAAGTTGGCATATGGATAATTTAGGATGGAGATTTATCAATAAAGAAGAATTAAAATCGTTAAAGAATCCAGATGAGGATGTTAGTTTAGGTACGGTTGATCATGTATATGGTTTTAGTCGTCTTCGTGAATTATATTTTAAAGTGAATCCTGATTATGATGGTAGATTTACTGTTCCTGTTTTATGGGATAAAAAACAAGGGACAATTGTTAATAATGAATCATCTGAAATCATTAGAATGTTAAATACTGAATTTAATGATATTATCCCCAAAGAATTTGCTAAAGTTAATTTAGTTCCCAGTGAATTAGAAGCTGAAATTGATGAATTAAATTCTTGGGTATATGATAATATTAATAATGGTGTTTATAAAGCTGGGTTTGCCACAGATCAAGATGTTTATTCAAAAGAATGTATTAATCTTTTTAAACATTTAGATAAAGTTGAAGCTATTTTAAAGAAGAATCATGAAGAAGGTAAACAATTTTTAGTTGGTAATCAATTAACTGAAGCTGATGTTAGATTATATACTACCATTGTTAGATTTGATCCAGTTTATGTTCAACATTTTAAATGTAATATTGGTATGATTAGACATGAATATCCTTATATTCATAATTGGCTTAGATTATTATATTGGACAATTCCGGGTTTTAAAGAAACTACTAATTTTGATCATATTAAATTTCATTATACTAAATCTCATATTGCAATTAATCCTAATGGTATTACCCCAGTTGGTCCAATTCCAAATATCTTACCTTTGGAAAAGTAAGAGAGTTTCCCGTGTTTTTGTTTATTATTTTGCCATTATTGGTTCTTTTCGTTAAGTTAAGTGCTCTTTCGTTAAGTTAAGTAAGACAATATTCGTTTGTTGAAAAAGTTTGCATGGCATTTCCCCATTGATCTTTCTTGTGTAAATACAAACGATATTTAAATACATAGTAGTCTATTACATACGTTACAATTGTATAATTACATCTCTCTCTCAATCGTATGGTTACATTAAAGAAGTATAAATACAATTCCACCAATTCAATTCTCTTAAAAGTGCAAATTCAATACTAAAACCCATAGCTCGTTAGTTCTGCTTTGTTCCAGGGAAAAAGCCCATTCCATTTTTGTGATTAAATTCAACGACGTTCGTTAAAATAAAAAAAAAAGAATTTATCTCGCTAAAAATTTAAACCATAAGATATAAGAAATGTAAAAACCGTCGAAGCAAATGAACCGAAAAATTTCTTAAGAATTTAATTTTAATTTTCTTAAAAAGTAAACAAAATTTTAAATTTATTTAACCAAAAAACCCTTTTCTCTCTCTCTCTTTGATTAATCAAAAGTATTAACCACACTTACACATACACACACACACACACACATTCTATTTTTAACAATTTGTTTTTGATAGAGAAAAAAAAAACATATAACAATCAGAAAGACAGACTAATAGATAGAAAACAATGAGAGGTATGTTAAAACTAGCATTCAATCAACTTGAAAATCACAGAAGTTGATCAACCACCCGATCAAACCAATTTACTAACATCTCCCTTCTAGATTATAAAATAGTAGTATTAGGTGCCGGTGGTGTTGGTAAATCATCTATAACAGTCCAATTTGTCCAAGGAGTTTATGTTGAAAGTTATGATCCAACCATTGAAGATTCATATAGAAAACAAATTGAAATAGATGGTAGAGCATGTGATTTAGAAATCTTAGATACAGCAGGTGTAGCACAATTTACAGCCATGAGAGAATTATATATTAAAAGTGGTAAAGGATTTTTATTAGTTTATTCAGTAACTGATGAAAATTCTTTAAAAGAATTATTAGCTCTTCGTGAACAAGTTTTAAGAATTAAAGATAGTGATAATGTTCCTATGGTTTTAGTAGGGAATAAATGTGATTTAGAAGAAGATAGGGTGTTAAGTATAGAAGATGGGGTTGCTGTAAGTCAAGATTGGGGGTTGGTTCCATTTTATGAAACTAGTGCCATGTATAAAACAAATGTTGATGAAGTATTTATTGATGTCGTTAGACAAATTATGAGAAAAGAAGCAGCAATGAGTGCTGAAAAGAAACAACAGAAAGAATTACAAAAACAACAACAGAATCAATCAGTTGAAATTAATAATACAAGTAATAATAGTAATAAAGAAAAACCAGAAACTACTACAAATACAAAAAGAACAATGAGTAGTTCAAATGCAAGATTAAATCAATCATCAATTCAACAAAATCCTGATTAACTGCTTTTAAGACCAACATTTACGACATGTTAGTACATTAGTACAATAGTTACATAGTCTAAGAAAAACTTTAAATATGGGCAATAATCTCACATTTAAAGTTTATCGTTTTTTTTGCAAAATGGGAGAATAATTTCATTCATAAATATTGGTATGACTTTGATATTTGTTAATGTTGTTGTTGTTGTTGTTGCTGCTTTTACTTTAATGGTAATTTAGATAGATAAAAAAGTAATCGTCACTTCCCCTTCCCCAGTTACTGCTTACTTTATTAATTAGTTAATTAGTTAAATTTTTCATTAGGAGCAAAAAATATATCTTTTTTTAAATCTATAATAATAATACGAAATAACCGAAACTATCTCTCTCGCTCTCTCGCTCTCTCGCCGAACCTAATCTCATCTCAGATCGTCTATCCCTGTACAACCGTCAACCTGTCAAATAATCCATCAAAAATATTATTTCCAAAAAAAATGGAAAATAGGTAAAATAAAAGTAGGAATTGCTGGTGTGTAATACACTATGGGCGCTCTAAGCTTGAGCGCGGAGGCTTCTCTGGTCCTGGAATGGGACCCGCCTTAGACCAGCTCGGCCAGAGTACCCAATTCCTGAAAAAAATTATTTTTTCGCCCGTCCCGCTCGGTTTTTCAAATGTCATTTTCGGGGCCTTCCCGAAGGTTTTTGGATAGTTTGAACATGGACGGATCTTGATATGATATTTAAGAAAGTGATTGACTCTTTTGATTGGGGTTTTTTAATTGTTTGTGTGAATATTTGGACGGTTTAAAAATATGGATTTTGAAATTGCGTTTTTTTGCAGCTTTTTATATTCTTTGATAATTTGTCAAAAATGGAAGATTGATGAAATAAAAAGATATTTGTAAGTGTCTGTAGGATATATAGTTGTTTGTGAGTTGTTTAATTGTTCAATTTAATTAAATTTTGGTGTTTTGGTGATTTCTCAATTTTTGTCAATATTTTGACTAAGATTTCTGCAAAAATTCTGGAAGGAAGGTAATCAAGATAAATTTACTATTACAATAACATATTAAAAACCTTATTTAATGACACTCAGCTGATATTTAATACATATCCTAATATACCCAGACTCTTATTTCAATTCTCAGCTCAGACAGAAGCTTTCATTCTTGAGAATAGGAATATGGGTTTTGAGTATCACTTTGAATCGATTCACAATATTTAGCTTTCACTAACACCAGATTAAGTCCTAAAATTATAACTCAAAATTGGTTATATATTCCCTACAAGATGCAAAGAAAGTTATTATTCACTTGGTGATCTTTGTGCAAATATAAAGTTTGGAATTGTGACCAGGGATAAAAACATAAGAGTTTTTTTGCAACCAAAAAAAAATATCAAACTTAAACAATCGACCAATAAGGCTGAATCGACGTCAGATAAATCAGTCCATAATTGGCAAATAGCTTTGTCCTAAGAGAGAGTAGAACTATAATGGGTTACATCTGGAAGAGGCTAAGAGTTGCGAGCTTTCGGAGAAGCTATAAGTAGCCAGAAGTCGCAGGACAGCTGCCCCTGTTCATTTGCAACCATTTCTTGTAACATCACACGATCAATCTGTTGCTTGTATTCTGGAACTGAGACACTACAAAGGAAAAGAGGCGATACACTATAAAGAACGCAAAATTACTTTCAAATAATATGTTTATTTGAAAAATGTATTTTTATCCCTATAATTAGAAGATCTATCTTTTATAACTAAATGTACGTAACCTACCAATTGGTGATATTTTTTTCAGCTTCACCAAATACAGAATTCCCACCATTATCAACATCTACAACATATTCAGCCCAATCTTCAAATAAATCAACTTTTCCTGAATCTTTATCATAATATTCAGGTAGTTTACTTTTTAAGAAATTTAAACAATAATCATTAATTAATTCAAATTCCAATAAAAATGCATCATGACCTTCTGGTGAACTTAATTTCTTTAAATCTGAATCAGGAATATTTTCAGCCAATAATTCTTGTTCGGCAAATATAAATAATCCATCTGATTGAATCCCGACAATTAAATGTGGAGCTGATAAGGTTTGTAAATATCCTGGCAATGGATCATGATTTGAATCTATTGTATCATCAGGATCTACTCTACCACGAGTTATATCATGAGTATCTAATTTTCTTGTAATTGAAATATAACAATTGGCATCAAATCGATTTACGAATTTATTACCTTGATATCTTAAATAAGATTGGGCTGTAAAATATGTAGGAGGTTTTTTATCTTGATTAACTCCCTTGGTAGCGCCATTATTAAGCATCATACTTGACATATTTAATTGAGATCTACTACCTTCATTATGCAATAACCAATGTTCTTCATCTTTTGTTTTTGGATATCTAATCCCCTTTTCAACTTCTTCTTGTTTTAATTTTTCTTCAGGTGATAATTGACTATTAATGCTTGAAGATTTTTGTAAACCAAGTTTACGACCAAATCTAGTTTCAAATGAATTTCTTGATCTATAAGTTAATAAAGCTGCCATTCTTGCTGAACTTAATCCAGCATCAGGTTTAATTGTATTTTCATAATAATAACCATCATCATAATAAGGATCGGTGAATATACACTGTCTTTGAGTTTCATTCCACGATATACACCATGCAGATGCTCTTGCTGAAGTAGCCAATGCAATTACACTCTTAACATATCCGGTATCATTATAAGTTGCCAGATATTCTAAAGCCAACATTCCACCCATTGATCCACCAATCACACATGCAATACCCTTAATATACAAAGAATCAAGAATCAATTTTTGAATCCCAATATCATCTTTTACAGTCACTAATGGAAATGAAGGACCATAAGGTTGTCCCGTACTTTTATCAATTGAAACTGGAGAACATGATCCATAGGGGGATCCCAAGAAATTTATACAAATAATGAAAAATCTAGATGGATCAAATGTTTTATCAGTCCCCAACAATGGACCCCACCAATCTTGAACATCTGAAGATCCAGTCAAGGCATGACATATGAGTAATGCATTATCACGATCATTATTTAATCTACCCCAAGTCTTATATGCAACTGGGAAATTATATAGGGTTTCACCACATTCTAATTGATATTCTGGGATTTCTACTATTGTTTGACCAGGTACTAATTTGGCAAATGGGTTCAGATTTCGTTGTTCTGTTGTTATGTCTTTATATCCTGAATCTGTCATTGCGATCATATGGTCTCTTTAAAGCAAAAAAAAATATTATCTGATGTGATTAGGTGAGGAAATGTAGTTTTGCAGTGTTAAATGTAATGTAAAAATTTTCCTGAATTAACGCTGAAAATGAAAAGCGTTTCTTAATCTCCCTTAATCTCCAGTTTTAAAAATGAACAATAAGAGTTTTTTAAAAAAACGGGAAATATATTTAATCGTACTTTATGAAATGAATGGATTTTAGTATTAAGAAAAATTGTGGATCTTTTTCTTCTCGGTTTAAATCGTAAGGTTGAATGTGAAAATTAAAATAAAAATTATTAAAAGGATTGTAACAAGTTTGTATAAATTCTCCCTTTTTCTCTTCCCTTGATAATATATATGAAGTTAGTTATGATATGGAGGGGCAAATATAAATATAGAAGTAAAGTTGGGCAAAGTAAAAATTTGATGAAGATGAGAAATGGGACACACTTTGACTCTTTCTCATTCTCCCGCCAAAATTGACTCAATTTAAAAAATATTTTTTTATTATCAGAAATTACCTAAATTCACGTGACTCCGATTCTTTTCTTTTCTTTTGTTTTCGGCTTTTATGAAACAATCCGGATCTTACGAAAAAGAAAAAAATATTTTCTTCATTCTGCTGTTGCTTCGAACCTTAAGCCCTGCATTCTATCGCCATATTTTTTGCAATCATTAATTAAATTATATAAAACATTACATCATTAGAAATTATATACACAAAATCATATACTACACTCCATCTCAATATCATACTGCCATGTATACATACCCATCTTCACTACTCCTGAATCCATCACTAAAAGTTTCACCTTGTTTTTCAATTGAAACCTTACTATATTGTTTATTATCAGAAACTTCATATTGCTCTTCAACTTCATCTAATTCAATATCCATCGAGTTTCGCATACTAGATCTAGCATTTGCATATTCTGGATTATGTTTTCTAACATTTACTAATACTAATAGAAAGTATTCATGGTTTAAGGATCGTATAAGATTAAGTCTTAAAATTGCTTCAATTGCAGAATATACTCCATAATCTTTATTTATCCTCTGACCTACCCGACAAACTTTTTCAATCATCGTTTGATCACTAGTAACTTTTAAAATTGCGTTACTTAATGATTTTCCAGTTAATTTCTTTAATGCAATCCCAACTCCCAAATCTTCAATCCTAGTTGCATAAAAGAATTGATCTCCAAAAAATGGTTTGATTATAGTAGGACATCCAGCTCTTAATGAAGCACCTGTGGTTCCTGAACCACCATGATGAATAGCTGCATCCACCCTTGGAAATAACCAATCATGAGGTATCAACCCAGCATTGTAAATCTCCGGAGGTAATTCAATCTCAGGTTGTTTATCTTGCTTATGATCCAATCTGTCAGACCAACCTTTATTCAAAATGCATCTTACATCAGCCTTCAAAACGGCTTCTACAATAGCCTGGGTAAGAATTGTAGCATTCTTAACCACAATGGATCCAAATCCGATATATACAATCTTCTTACCATCACATCTTGCTTTATCCATAAATTCAACTAATTCAGTCGGTGGTTTAAAATCATCAGAACCTTCATCCAAAAACCAATATCCGGTAACTTTAGTCCAATCAGGAAAATCAACCGCAGGTGGTAATACACTTGGTGATACATTATATAAAAATGGAACTTTTGATTGTTGCATCCTAAATAAATTAGTTCTTGGAAGTTTTAATTTCTCAACCCCGGTAAATAATTGAACAGATCTATAGGGGAAGGTTTTTTATGAGCATTTGCGTTGATGAGTCAAATAATTATAGGACCCACCTTTTCGTTGATCAGGCACGAAAAATGCATTGGGATATGCTTTTGATTTCGTCCATGGCATAGTGAAAGCACGGAAATATGGTACTACCAATGCTTCAGCAATATGAATCCCCGCCATAGCTGAAGGACTCTCAATCAAAATATCACACCCCTGACATGCTTCCCAACTAGTATTCAATAATTCAGAAATCCAACTTCCAAATTTCGCTTGGGCATCTTTTAGAAATGTAACTGACATTGAACTATGTGAAACCATAAATGACATTAATTCAGCTGGTTCTCCTGCAATTTCCTTGAATCCGAGTCCATGTTTTTTAATCCAGGGTCCAAATTCTGAATGAGTTGCGATTGTAACTTTGTGACCTTCTTCCATTAATCCCTTACCGAGTGCGATGTATGGTTGTACATCTCCTCGTGATCCTATTGTTAACATGGTGATATTGTAAGATGTAGAAGGTTTCATTTCAGTTTTGAGAAATGGTGAATCTTCTAATATGATAGGTATATCCATTCCAGAAGCTGTAGTTAATCGATCTTCAAACATTCTTATTCTCGCTAGGGAGATTCTCTTTTGTGCCATTTCTAAATCCCGTTTATTATCTTGTAGTTGTCGACTTCCTGGTATTTGCGATTCTAAACTATCTTCACTCGATTCTGGTGACATTTTCGCCTTTACTAGTATCTTTTCCTTTTGGTTGAGAATAACTTGAACACAATCATTTCTGGATTTAGATACACTAAATTCAAATTGTAATTCATTATGCCCTCTACTTGTCAATTTCATACTTGAAAAAGCCAATTTGATCCCCCTCACCGGTTTTACATGATGAATTTCGACCATCGGTATGATCATCGTGGTAGACACACCCGGCAACAAACTACGGAAACAAACTTCCGATTCACCAACATAAATCCTTCCAAACACAGGAATTGACGACCGTTCTAAATGACAATAATAACAAGCAATCAATTTCGAATCCTTATTCAATGAGAAATATTCCCGGAAATCATCTTGTTCTTTTGATCTTTCCAATCTACTCGAAACATAATATGGATCGGATGATCCAACAGTTAATTTCTGATAATGTGAAGGTGTTGCAAAATAATAGCTGGTAATATTAGACAATTTCTTTATCCCCTTTCCGATAGCATTATCACGTTTCCATACACATGAAGCGGCTGTTTTCAGACTTTTTATACTCAAATCAGATTCTGAATCATTTTCAGATGCCTTATAGACACCACCACTACTACGATCGAGCTCACTTCTAAATGTATCATATCTCCTCACTCGAAGTAGGTATAGAGACTTCCTACAAAGATCCCTTTATAGGTTTGAAGCATTAGCATCGAGTGATAGAATTTTCGGTAATGCAAGGGGTTCACTCTTTTCACCAGTAGAGGCTGATGATGGATCTACTGTGATCGAGTCATCAATACTCGATTTCGATGAAAAGATCCTACTGGGATGGGCAATGACTTTTCCAAATTTCTTCAATTTGGATTTCTCAGGTGTTGGTATAGTCCATAGATCAGAAGTACTCTGTTCAATATTATTCATCTCAATTACTTTTTTAACCAATGTATTAGAAGATGGAGTCAAGGTTGAAAATGATTTCGAAACACCAGTCAGACCAGCACCTCTTTTGAATCGATCTGAAAACATCTTAAATCTACCACTTTCACGTTCTTTGGAAGTTCGTTTACTTTCGTCATATACCTTTTCAAACATCGTAAGAAAGTCAGAACCATTCACGGGGAATAAGAAATATACTTCTTCAACCCCGCTTTCATTATCTTCTCCCTTGAATCGTTTCTTTAACTTGACTCGATTGCTATTTTCATCCTCATTGGTATGATATCTTAGAGTCCAACAGAATGGATCATCATCATCCCTCAAATCTTCATCTTTAGTGTCATCAGTTGAATCTTCAGTAAAGAATCTTCTCAGACTATGTTCTATAATATTGACAAGTGGAACTTTTACCAACACCTCATTCTTGGAATTAGAATTATTTAACAGGAATATCAACTTCGTAAGATTATTACACCATTTTCTAGCAACAAACAAACTATCGCATTGGAATTTATATGTTTTCTTAACTGTCACCAACTTAAACCAAACATGATTGCTTGAGGATTCAATACCTTCTTCACTAGTAGCTACTGGATCATTAGATATCACATCTTGAATATCCAAGAAATCATCCATTGATCTGGTTCTGGCATGGGTTGGAGAAACAGCACCAGAAAGATATCCACTTCTGATCCCGGTTGGTGTAACAGTCCCATCTGTTCTTCCTCTCCCGATGGGGGAAAGAGCCTCCTTTTCATATTTATCCTTATCTATGACTTCTGCATAAATGCATGATTTTATATCAATTATTAAGGTGGGGAAATATAGATTAGTAGATGAACTATAGATACTCAAAGCTTCATCTCTCAAGATTGCCCAATATCTATGTGATAGAACCGAACCTAATATGGAATCACCATATCTCCCAGTTTTCATTCCCAAATTTCCTTTTTGGATTATATTCGATGAATCATCATAATTGACCACACCAGCAGCTTCAACAAGTTCATCAGATTTGGGTAGATATGAAAAAAACATCAATGAATCAGAAGTAAGATATAAATGACCTTGTAATAATACATCCTTAACTAACCAAGATCGATAATTTCCATAAAAATGATCATTTTCTGATAATCCAAAAGTTCTTTGAAGTTTATTGGCAACTTTTATCCTTACATGATCATTATTCTTCATAGCATCATTAATTGAACCACCACCACTTTTAAATTTTGTAAGGAAACTTTCTTTAACTAAATGTGGATCAAGATTTTGTATAACAGTTTGTTGTAATCTTGATAATACATTATTACTCCGGTTACTATCTTGTCTACTAATTAAAGTGGTTGGTACATTTTCTGCAACAAATGTATTGAATTCACCAAGAGACTCTAATGAATCTCCTCCTGACGGTATTTCTTCTGATGATAATGCATTTTCATAAGATTCCAAGTCCATCTGTATAGTCGCAGAAGGTACACGAGGAGGGGAATGAGATATTGTAGAAGTTGATTCAAATTGTGATATTTGGTTGGGTTCTGAAATTGGCTGCAAATCAGAAAAAGCTCCATCAATGGGTAGATTATCAACAGTATCATTACTAATTCTTTTCTTTTCATATGGAATATGACCCACATCAGTGATCTTACCTTTATAACTCTTTAAAACATCATCTAGACTTAATCTGTTCAGGTTGGTTAATGAACATATTCCTGAACACATGATGGTACTTCGTAGTAAATTAGGGAAAAAATTCCCATTGTCCAGTCCGTCACAAAGTTTTGCAGAATCTTCTTCATCTAGTTCATCATCAGTAGATCCCCTTTCAGGGGACTTAGTAGCTTGCCTTTTATGTCGTTTAGAAGTATTACATTGTTCTTGATTGGTTGTCGATTTTTGCTCAGTTGATTCTTTTTCTTCTTCCTTATTATTGTCAGGAATTCCTCGTAAGAATGACAATGTACTATAAGATGGGAATGTACCCATTGCAAGTATCCTTCTGTATGGTGACATTTGTTATTGTCAGTATAAATTCTTAAGTGTTTTGGTTGAAATAATTAAATTAATGGTTAAACGCCTCTTATTTATTTGATAGGGTCCTTCTATGGAAATGTGAAAATAAAAAATAAAATTTCTTCTAGAACGATTTTCTGGGGAAAATTAAAAATAAAATTAAAATCCTGGGGCTATAAGACAGTTTCAATTTATATTGATATCAAATTAGAAAGTAGGTTTGAACTGTTGAAGTTTAGTTTGAATGAGTGGCAAGAAATGGGTTATTATAATATCTTGTGACGGTTCTTCGAAGAGATGAAATATTATCCTGTGGAAAATGATAAACCTTAAATAACAAACAAAGAATAATTTATGCCTATCGAATGAAATTATTTTTTTCTGCCGTACGAATTATAAATTTCTCGCTTCAATTTAGCTCCAAATTAATTTTTCCAGCGGATGTAAATGGTTTCCCGTACTGACTAATTAATGCCAGTACGCATCCGATTGTTCCAGGTTTAAGATTGGAACAACGGAACCGGACTAAAAGACGCAAACAACAATCTAAATGACCTACTAAGTGCATAGACACATTTTTTTTCTTAACTCCTAAGTCCTTCCATTGTCACAATACAGAGAATCTTCATCCGCACGATTGTACGTATGTTCCTGCACAGGTTCCACAAATTTTTCACATGTGAGTTTTGGGTAAAAGTGAAACTTAAAACTTTGTATTTAATATTACTTTAAAATCAGCTATACTTTCTATATATATACAAGGAATTCATTCTATTCAAGCTTATTATTCTTTAATAATTTATTAAATTCACTGTTTGGATCATTAAATAAAATATCAAATGAATCATCTTCTACAATCTCACCATCTTGATTGAAAACAACTATTCTATCACTACCTTTAATTGTAGATAATCTATGAGCAATTGAAATTATAGTAATACCTTGTTCTTTATTTAATTGTTGTAAATTCTTCATTACCATTTCTTCACTAATAGAATCTAATGCAGATGTAGCTTCATCCAAAATCAAAATCTTGGGTTCACGAATTAAGGTTCTAGCCAATGAAACTCTTTGTCTTTGACCTCCACTTAATTGAGTCGAATTGGATCCTCCAATAGGTGTTTCTAATCCATGAGGTAAATTATCAATAAATGATTTGGCATTACTAATTACCAATGCCTTTTCAATTTGTTCCTTAGTAGCATCATCTTTTCCAAACAAGACATTTTCTTTAATACTACCACTAAATAAAAATGCATCTTGCAGTACATATCCCAATTGTGTACGATAATGATTTAAATTCAAATCACGAATATTTTCATCTCCAATAAATACATTTCCAATAACAGGATCATAAAATCTTAAAAGCAATTGACTTACTGTAGATTTCCCACACCCTGAAGGTCCAACAAGACAAACATTCTCACCCTTTTTGATGGTAAGATTCATATGTTTAAATACTTCAGAATCAGGTCTTGATGGATATGTAAAATTGATAGCTTCAAATTTTATATCTCCATTTAATCCTTCAACTTTTTTACCTAATCTAATAGGTATTCTTGGTTGATATTCAACCAATTCAAAAATTCTTTCTGCGGCACCGATTCCTTTCATCAACTCCGTATAGAAGTTCCCTAATCCGAAGACTGATGATCCGGTATATACTGCATACATCATAAAACTTGACAAATCTCCAATTGTCAATTCTCCTAATCCAACCAATTGAACTCCAACAACCAATAATCCAATCAAAGTAGTATTTCCAATAAATCCATTAACAGAATAATAAAATCCCGAATATTTTGCTTCTCTCATTGAACTATTAAAAATATTCTTAATTTCTTCATTATAATTCCTAACCATCAAAAGTTGTTGAGAAAATGATTGAATGGTCTTAACCCCATTAAGTTTTTCTTCAGTTACTTTAGTCATTGCCCCCACATTCTCTTGAATCAATCTCGATAACGCCTTTATCTTTCTTCCATAGAACCAAGACATAACAATCAATGGTGGGAACATCATACTCATACAAAGGGTTAATTTCCACGACACGAAACACATCATAGATAATCCAACACAACCACTAATAACCGCTCTCATACCATCACTGATATTCATACTTAAACTCTTGGAAATTATTTGTGTATCACTAGCAATTCTAGAAATTAAATCACCAGTTTTCATACCAGTTTTGGTGGGACCTACATCAAAGAAATACGCATCTTGAGCTAAGATTTTCAGAAATAATCTAGATCTTAATCTTGCAATTAAGCGTTCTCCTACTGATCTTAATAAGAATAATCTACCAAAATTGGCACTGGCACCAATTACGAATAATATTCCTAATCCCGTATAGAATTGATATTGAGGAAGACCAAAAATTCTCACTGGTTCATCTTTCTTAGATTCCGGAGATTTTTCTTCTTTGGTATCTTCACCCTCTACTGGTTTGGCAGTATCTATAATCTTTCCAATAAATAACGGCAACGTCATTGTAGTAGCAGAAGTGACGAATAAACATAATAATGCCCATATTAAGGTCCTAAATTCTGGTTTTGCCAATCTTAACAATTTGGCAACATCTTTCCTAATATTAGTTTTCTGTTTTTTATCCTTTTCAGTAGAAGGTAGTTCGTTTATGATAGAACCTTCTGGAGCGGTCGTGGTAGATGTTGAGTTGTATCTTAGTTGATTTATAATTGGTTGATACATTCGTCTTCCTGACCTGAAATTTGGTAGTTTGGGAATAGCATCGAAATATCCAGAGGTATTTCTTTTCGGTATTCTAATAACCGAGCTTCGAGCCAATGGAAGTATTCGTGATATCATCAATCGATTTATTCCAATCATTTCTCTATACTTTTATACCTCTGTTCATCCAAAACGGAATTTGAAGGTTGTTGCTTATATAATGCGCTTTAATTTTGGTGAGAAAAATTTCGGATTGGCAGGGAATGTTCGAGATTCGGACATCAGTCGGAATAAATTGACACAAAGTATAAAATTCAATGTGTTACATTACTCCACAACGGAATTTTCCACAACATGGGCAGAACTTACAGAAACCAAAGAGACTAGAATGTTTAATATAATGCTAATAGAACTTGGAAACTACAATCAAATCTTTCTTGCTGAAAATTTCGTTTAATCTCAAAATCTTGGCGGGTGGAGTAGTAACTCACAGCCCATTTGACGTTAAGTCTATATAAAAACCTGTCATATAGTCATAACTATTATGAATCATGTCTAATACACTACTTTAAATCCGTTTTTGTTTGCCATTCGTCGTACATCTTCAAGATTGGCAGGATCCAATTTATTTGCTTCAAGATGTAACACAAAATCACCCTTACAGTCCAGAAATATTTCAGGAGAAATAAACGAAAGATGATTATGTTTCAAATCCAATTCTATAAGATTTGGCAATAATTCACCAATTGAACATATTTCTATAATTTCAATCTCATTATTATTAAGCAGCAAGATTTTAAGCAGTTGGGGTAATTGAATTAACATGTCTTTGGATATATGTGTAAAGAAATTCCAATCTAGATGTAATACTTGTAAATAATCAGGAAGTCTTTTCTCTATTCCCCAAACATCAATACATCCATCATGATTATTCTGGAGAAGATTCTGCAGTATGTCCAAATATTCTAGTGATTTAAATCTTCTAAATAATCTAGTCCACTGGGGGACGTATATATTTCCAATATCGGTGCCTCTTATTGTCATTTTCTTTACTTTATTAACAAGTAGATCATTTCTACTCAAATCCAATAAATTCTTAAGGATTATAGTAGTTAATGAATCCGGGTTTTCAATCATCATTAAATTAGCATCAATATAGAAACTTAATTGAAGAATCTTAGTCGCAAAATACTCTTGAACACGAGGATATTTCTCAGTCAGTATCAATTCATTGAAAGTATATAAATTCGTCATAAACATTCTATAATCAAATACTTGTCTTGTGAATACAAACTCCACATAATTCGGTCGAATACATCGAAACAAAGAATTTTCTCTATTCTCAATTAAAAACCGTTCTCCAAATGAATCTACTGTTAATAATACCTCATTTTCAAACACTTGATTAGGTTCATCATTCGTTATCATCAATTTCCCTCCAAATAATCGTTGATAGAGTAAATCCACCACAGTTTCGGAATTTGGATAAGGTTGAACACAAGCTATAAATCCTCTATAGAGTAATCCTCAGTTTATAGGCTTATAAAATTATTAGTGGAGTAGAGGTAAGGATAGTAGTGATATCATTTGTCTTATAAAGATGAAAGTAATGAAGGGGAATGGGGGTGAGGTGAAACTCGAAAATTCCAAAAAGAAAAAGGCCGTTATCAAATTTCTGGAGTGCAGTTTTTTTTTCTGTTGCATTTTCAACACCACACAAAATCGCTATCTTATTTATTTTTTTAGCCTATGATGTCATTCCACCAGCTCCGTAATCGGTATAATAAGATCCATAATTTGATTGATAATAAACATTAGAATCACCCATATCAACATCATCATCATCAAGATCCATAGCTAGATCGCTTTCGTGATCTTCTTTCAATTCAACCACTTTTGGAGTTGGGGCCGGACGATCCAACATTTCCAAATCAGGATCAAAATGTATGGTATCCCAATAATCATATTTAATATTGCCATATATTTCTTGTTCTGATTTAGAGTCTTCGGCTCCTTTTCTCAATTCCCTCTTCTCTTGTTTAACTCGTAGTCTATGAATTTCTAATTCATTCTCCTGTGAAATTATATTGAATAAATCCACTGAACTCAACATATTGTCATTGACAAGTTGTAAAATCTTGTCATAAGTTTTAAAACGAGGAATTGAAGTTCCATTACGTTCATTATATTTTCGTACAAATCGATTAAATAATTTAATAAACCATTTTTGATACCAATAAATCACCAAGAACCGATAATCATACCAATGTACTAATGATAATGATTTAATTAGCAACTCATTTAGATGTTCATTCAATCTTTCATTTAGAAACGAATTGATCAGAAGACTTCGAGGTATTGTCAGTCCAGAAGGGACCCTCTTATGAATTCCACCATATTTTGTAGTTATACCAGGATTGATTACAAAGCAAGTATTTTTCTTTTCTTCCGGTTGTTTTGAAGATTTGGATTCTGATATCGATAAATTTTGGAATATTGAATCTAATTTGATCTTTTTCCCTGAAGAATCAGTTACTTCATCATCTTCATCTCTAAATACTTCTCTATGCTTCCTTTTGATACTAAAAGTCATATATGAATCATTGGTAGCAAAATAAGTTGCGTTGAAGTTGCGGTTTGCAAAAGCGCAATAATTTATTAATTTAAATCATTCGCAACTTTTTTGATAATCCACTCAACACATCAAAGTCTTCTCGAAAATTCCACATAATAAACCAAGGTAGTGTACCAACCAAATTGCAAAATTGGGTGCAATTTGATTCAAACAATCATTAGTTGAGTTTGTGTATCAGGGCATTATTCTGGTATTATCTTCAAAATAGGATATATCACTCTCCAGGGAGTTAGTGAGAGTTTAAGCCACTTTAGGATTGTGAATGCTTTCGACTGGATTCTTAGAGTAGGAAGAGAGTTAAAAATAGCTTACCATTAGCTTGGCAGTTTCTTAAGAGCCGCCATTTCAACAATACAGCCACTGCTTGGGGTCATCATGCAAAGAAAACAAGGGGCTATCTTTCTCAAAGGTCAAGCTTCAAACCAGCCCCAATTTCTAAATGTCTACTATTGAAAATATTTATTTATAGAACCATCGCAATTGAAAGATAACCTTGGCGTAACTACTGAAAGTAGTTTACCATGCCTAAGATGTATTAAGATCAGCATTTTCCGGAGATTGAATTGTTTGCGAGACATAATTATTCATGGAAATGTATGTTTATGCAGCGCTTTTTGCTTATCGAGCGTGGAAATAAATATAACCACACGAATGAACCTTATGCCAAGAAATCGCGAATAC